AAGTGATGCGCAGTACTCATGTGGCAAGAACTGAAGTTTTTCTTTTTTTTTCAAGGAAATACGCTAATTTAATGTCGAATGGGGAATTTTTGTTAAGCGCGCTGGCACATACACGCAATGTATGTCGTACAGTGTAATGCGTTATATGGCCCTATGCGTGCAATGCGGTATATCATTTGACTGTAAACGCCTCCCTCATTTTATTAAAAACAGTGGGTTTACCTGAACGGATGCTGGCGGACATAACAATACCATTTGGACTGGCTCACTTGAGTGTTGCAATGCTGCCAAAATGCATAACCTGGATTGGCCAAAGCAGTGCTTACCGGCAGCAGTACAACAGTCAAATTAACTTGCATTTCTTTCTCGTTAGACCATTTCTCTGGTCATAGAAGTACATGGAGGCAAGGTGAAGTCACTTACTGATCAGGGCAGTGGAAGCGATCTCTTTGGTGTTTCAAGACAGTCACTGGGGTGTCAAAACAGGCCCATGCCCACACCAAACGCGCCTTAAACTAGAACTTTCGGCAGCCTATTGCGTCCTCCAGAAACACAGTCAACTTACCTTGAGGAACAAATGGAACATCAAAATTTGAATCGATTAATCGGGTTTTACTCGGACGTTTATCCGTCGATTCCGTTAGCAATGCACAATGAAGAAAAACTTGGAATGAAAGCCGACTGCGTCTCATGAGATTTCATCCCCCGGTTCTACTTTTCAGAAGAAACTTGCATTCAGGGCCTACAACGGAAACCTTAATCTCCGCCGCAAGGGCAGCAGGTAGCGTCTGCTCCACACATTGGCCTTAAAGCGTCAGCAAATCCATGGCAATGAAACCTGCCCAGCTGTTGAGCAGGGGAACCACAGCAAATCAGACAGTGCCTTGACCCCATATGCAGCAAGGTATGAGACGGAGAGAACCCCCCCTGCTTTGTGTTAGTCATTGTCTCGCAGGAATCTGGGGAATTCCTTTCAGACATCTTGGGGGGGGTGTGTGCTAAGTAACAATAGTCTGGAATGTGTATAGGGATTGGACATGTTGGGGGGGTACCCCTCGGTCTCATTTCTTGCTGGGTATAAAAGAAATGTGCTTCATCAGTTTCCGAAGCTTTTTCATTCAGACCACGTTTTCGGTCAGTCGCGGGCATTGGTCACGACCTTATCCATATTTATCAAAATGACTCCAAGCTGCTGTTATTAGGTCAACTGCTTAGCAAATATTAGTTGTCACATAATAGCAAACAGTGACACGTTTATTTTCTTTTTACGAAGTTGGAGTTCAATTGTTTCTAATTTGTTAATTAGGGGGGAAAGAAGTCGGGAACTTCCCTCGTATACGTAGCCTCCTCAAAATTGGGTCTCGTGAGAGACGACGAATTGTCATGGCCCAATGCAGTTAGTCTCGATACTAGACCTGATGATTCCTACTATTCTCGTCGAATCAAGGGTCCAGTATCACTCAATGTCCACGTCGCCGAAGCCGGAGGGATTCCTCCGGTTGCTGAATACAGCCTAAGTATTCCGAACTTGTCTCGTCCACATTCGGATAGCATCGTTGATGTTTGGGTATCATTCCGGCTGTGTCCGTTCGTATAATGAGATTTAGGTCTATCGTTTGCTTGTTGCGCACATTCAACACAATGTTGCTCCCGTCCTACATTTTTTTCTAGTTCCCTGCATGTTTTCAAAGTGACGGCCAACATCTAAACATGGGATACACCCAGGGCTTTCCTTGTGACCCTTAACATGTTGAGTCATGACAGTTGCATCCGTGGGTGATACCTGACCTAGATTTCTATCAAACATCGTCCGGGAATCTTTGGTCAGGGAACTAGCCTACAATGCAATCACTTAATACCCCACCACTGATGGCGGTAGCACCCCCACTTGCCAGGTTGCTGTACATGTACTTACCTAGTCAGTCTGCCGCTGTGGCGCATGAAACCATCGTCCCAACGATCCGAGAAGAAGTAGTAAACTGATCTCGCTGAAGTCGGAAGAAAAAGACTCATCCACTCAACGACACCTCCCCATAGCAAACCCAGACTGAATGCCATGAGGACCAGGAAGCATCCACTCCAAATGAACTCCCCCGGGCGCTAACATCTCTGGACGGAAGTGTGTTTCCATTAGCGAGTCAGAACAGCTAGAAATCAGACTTTCCATCTCTCCAAAGAAAGGCAACACTTTCGTCTTGACCACTTTCGTTATGTTCCATTCCCAGGAGGGCCAACACCTGCAGAAATATCATCCTAGTTTGTTTGTGTCAAATTGTACCTGGAAAAGTTACCCCATTTAAAGAAGGTCGTATAAATTGGTATTTAGGAGTACTGCTTAATATTTGGCGTTTTCGTAATGTGGGATTGTTAAGTTGAACAAGTAGTGATTTTTTTTTTTGTTTTACAACCAACTGATAACCAAAAAACAAACAAACAAACAAACAAAGCAAAACAAAACAAAACGAAACGAAACGAAACGAAACAAAACGAAACAAAACGAAACAAAACGAAACAAAACAAAACAAAACAAAACAAAAAAGCAGACCCTTGTTTACATGTTATCACGAGGCACTTCGACCTTGACACTACTCAGCTCTCTGTTGGGACGGTAGAACAATTACGTCTACTATTAATTAACCATGTGTTACATCCCTGCAGTCACTACGAGTGACTGGGCACCATGATTTATAAATCATTAGGTAAAAACATCCCTTGTTCCAAATTGGGCTGAAGCCCACCTGAACGTTTTTACGCATTCTGACATTGAAAACGTAAATAAGAGTTATAAATATCTTTAGAATAATCATTCCTTCATGAACTAAAGAGGATTATGCTCTACAGGTGCCTTTTAATTCAGAAACACCCGAGACAGGCCTGCCTTCCCTAGCCACACAAATTTCACATCGACAGCTGCATTTCTTTGGCCGACTGATGAGGGAACTCTTTTCCTACAACCTCGCAGTAGGTCACCTGATCTTACACCGTTGGATTATTTCCTTTGGGACATCTGCAGACCTTTTTTTTTTTCAAGACAGTCCGCCACATGATGCTGCCGAGTTACGGACCCATCATGATCACCGTCTTGCGCAACAATCCAGCAATTGTGAGACAAGCTGTCCATGAAAAGGTAAGTTAGTATACACAAACATCGCCGAGCGACATCTTAGATCAAGGCACCGTCGTGAACAGCACTGGCGTATTGGCTCTGTTCAAGTTTAGAAAGTTCCCTTGGCTACCTCGGGGACTAAAGTCTGATAGCCTCAAATACCTGGAGGGAGCAGCTTATATCAAGTGTCCAGCCCGCAAAGCATGAGTTTGTAGGTGGTCTTGGAAAAAGTAGTACATGTAACTCCTTTTGTGGACACATAGCCGTTTATTCAGTAGAATGGGTTTACATGTATACACTGTGTAGTATAGTGTACTTTGCTTTAAACGCGAACAGGTTCAGAGGCTATCTTGCAAAAATGATGTATTGATCAACCCAATACAGGCAATTCACAATAGTGCGCCTCCAAGAGTTTGGAACGCGTTGGCTAATCACAATGCGCGAAATTTGTCGACCCAATGCGCGTTTAGAAAGGGTTGACAAATTTCGTGCGTTGTGATTGGCCACCGCATTGCATACTCTTGGAGACGCACTATAATTGTGAATCACCCTTATTCAGCTCAGTAACAAGGTTGTGGACAGCAAGCTTCGGCCACGAAAAATATGGGAGCAAAGGCGTCGTGAATAAGCCTGTAAAAGATAGTGGAGTGAGACGGTCGCAGCTCTCTTCAAAATAATACGCAAAATATCATGTCCACTGAAGTATGGGCGTTGGAAACATACCTCCATGATTGAAGTTTCTAGTACCAACAGCACTAATTAGGCCTGGTCCCCTGTTAGCCGTTTTGCAGTTGCCGGGGGGGTATTTAAATTCGCCTTCAGTTTTTTTTATAACACTAGTGGCCTTTTACTACGGAGCTTGTCCCCCGATAATACTTCTCTTTCCCTGAAGGCATCGAGTGCCATATCACGAGTGCACTTTTTGCACTGTCCTTTGCTATTGTCACGTCAAAACGTCAGACATGCGGCACAAATATTGTGAAAAGCGCTTTAAATAAAGCTGCCAATAAAGATGCTGAACACCCAATCCCGGCCGACTCTTTCCCCGTGTCCTGATTTTAGAGAGGCCAGCTGACTGGAAAAAAACCCCATTCATACTTTCAGCAAAAATGTCCACTGACCTTATATGACTGCCCACTTCCACTCAAACCTTGCTACACCACTGACTAACAATAGAGACTCGGTGGCATACCCTGGGGTGTGGGTTGGAGGCACTAGAACTGGCAAGTCGGGGAGTTTTTCGTGCCTGCATTTGCATCAAGTGAACATGTACATAATATTGGGCCCAAGTCGCGGCTCAAACTTAACAGCTGATTGGATCTCCTGGAATTCCGGGAAGGCATATGTGAAGCATCGATTTGTAAGATATCCCAATTCTTTCTGAGAGTTGACTAGAACGTATCTACTGGTAAAGCACGATATATTCCAAAATCGAACTCGTCTTTTCCTTCCTCCGTGTTTAAATCGAGAAAAGTACTCTTCAAAGAGAATGGAGGCCGGGATAGTTTTGATTTCAAGACCTTCCTGTAGTTTATTCAGCAGGACAAACCATCACACGGCGAATCACTATCAACAACACCAACCATGATCACTAGACGAATAGCCAATAAACAGAGTGTGAATTCAGTCAAACGCACAGTACATTGAGCATGTAGTTGTTGACCACGGCGCAAACTTGGGCCCACGGAAAAAAATGCACAAAAACAGATGGTGAAATAGACTTAAATCCGAATTGTTGTTGAACGACCAGAACGATTTTTTTTAATCAAAGCCTTCACAAACGATGCACATGCGTGTAATTTCACTGATCAGTTTCGGAAAGGGCGCCCTCGCTTTCCTTTGCAAATAAGTGCGCCCTCATCGGATTTGTTCTTCACCAAAAAAACAGGTACCCCGCATTCATTATACGCTCTCTGGTGCGACAATGTATATTGGGTCCCATCTGCTGTAAGATTTTAAAATTTCCACACTGCTCCGACATTACATGTATTGTGCCACCAATTTTTCTTGTCCGAAATCGTGCGCGTGGAGTACACTTCAATTCCCACATATCCTTGATAAATGCATTGTACACGTAAGTAAACAAAATGACGGTACCTTCATAAAAGCTATGTTACATTTCATGAAAACGGAGTAGGCCTCAGCACAACCTGGCAATGGCATGACTGGCAGTAGCCCCACTAGTGTGGCACGGACTCTCACTCGCGATCCATTCTTAGCCACACATATCCGTATACGTAATTATTTCGTGGCGGTGTATTGAACATTTCGGCGCACCCACTTATCATTGTGGGCGCAATTTCTTTTGCACACGAACATGATTCTTGACCTTTCCGCTGTCTAAAAACCATTTATTGAATAATTTCACTCACGTTATTCAGGTATTTTCCAGTCTGTTTGCCTTTATCCATTCAATCTAACGGGCTCGCTCTCACAGTCGCCATCTTTAAAATAAGGTCGTTGAACGATACGTCACTTGACCCCTCATCGTCTTGACGGCTGTTCCATGTCAGGACATATGTAATACATGGACTGAGCGATAAGATACTACATGTGCCAATGAGCTCTTCCAAACTTTGGCAGCAGTTTAGATGTCTTGACATGGAACAGCCATCGAGACGATGAGGGGTGAAGTGACGTATTGTTCAACGACCTTATTTTAAAAATGGCGACTGAGAGAGCAAGCCCGTTAGATTGAATGGATAAAGGAAAAAAGACTGGAAAATACCTGAATAACGTGAGTGAAATCATTCAATAAATGGTTTTTGGAAAATGGAAAGGTCAAGAATCATGTTCGTGTGCAAAAGAAATTGCGCCCACAATGATAAGTGGGTGTGCCGAAAATGTTCAGTACGCCAACATGAAATTGCGCATACAGATGGATGGCTAAGGATGGATCGGGAGTGAGAGTCCGTGCCACACTAGTGGGGCTACGTAGGGGCCTACATTACGTGATGTAGTACACGTACATGAACTCGAAGCATGGAGGATTAAATTCTTGAAGCCACTAACTCCATGATACTTCATGTGAGTATCATGGAGTTACACATGTAGTGACTTCGAGTTCTCGAAGTAGCAGTGGCACATGACCAGATGACAGACAGTGAAACCCCCTGACCATGGACATGAGAGGACAGTCTATTCCTTTCTTTAACCCCTTCGCGCCAGGAGACAGTAAGAGCCGTCGTAAAACTTGAGATCCTCAGCCCACTTTTCAGCTATTATTCTCGTCCCTGCTTGAGCGAACACAGTAAAAGAAGGGAGACCCTGGCTCTTTTAAATATGGTGAATGGCCTTTGTGTGTAGCCCAGAAATGAAAAGATGAAATTTGCATCATAATCACCAGCTTCACAATAGTCCCCACTTTGAAAAGAGGCAACTGGAATGTGGAAGCGTGAGTAGAGCCGCATGCCACCGAACAATGAGCCTTTTCACTGTGTAATTCAAAGCGTACAGAGCACGCAGGGCCACAAACCGAGAATTTGCGGTTTGGCAGGTGGCCTTCGTGGCCACGCGAGGCTGGAATTCTTGGAGTCGGCTTTCGGAAAGAAATTCCTGTTGTCAAAGGGTTAACATGTTTAAGTTCCTCCATCAGCGTGTCCATGGTGAAACTGACATGCATGCATGACGGTCAGTTAACTGGGCCTACCCCCAGAACTATGGGGTCCGACGTCCGCCCCACTCCGATACAGCGCGGCGGACGTCATGTCTGGGGGTAGGTCATAACCACATGAACGATGACCTGGTGACACTGACACTTAGGGCTGACAGTGCAGTCAATTTGACCTACAATTGACAGGGATAAAACATACTTTAGGACCCCCCCCATTTTGTGGTCATTTTAATTTTGCAAAATGGGTAAGTCCCCCCACAGGACAAAGGCAACACTCTCTTTATTGTGCTGACCCAATTTTTGGGAAGTTTCAAATTGTAGACCTAAATTGTGAGAACACGTGACTTCCTTACCAGTTGATAAACCAGCCATGCAAATTTGAATTCTTCATGGGTCACGTGTTAAAACACTCACATTTTCCCCTCATAATTTTCCTCAAACGTCTCAAAACTCAAAACCCTGCCCTTTTTGACAACATCAATCCTACAGTCACGACTGTTAAAATGAGCATGATGTCACATTCATCTATCAAGGTGAATTCAAATGTTAAAATGTAACTCTCTCTTCTATTATAGGAACAGGGTCCCCAAATTTACAATCGCCAATTTGGTCATGCATGCAAGTCGCCATTCACTTTGTACAGCTACAGTCTACAGGGATTTGCATGTTTGCCTCCTTTTTTGCTGCAATATAATAAAAAATAACAGAAACCTTTTTGATACAGTGTGGGATAAATTCATACTTATCATAGCACATAGTCAAATTTCAGGCAAATTTAATGTAAAGGTTAAGAGTTTAGTCAGTAATTCAGATTTTCCCCATTGACTGCAACACTATTGTTGCTCCTTTGAGTTTTCAAGTGGGCATTACATGTACGGAATAGGCCTAGCCAGCAATTAACCAATCAGAGACAAGAATCAAGACTCAGTGACGTCGTCCCAACTGCGAGAATGCATGCCACTGACTTAAACTAGTAGTGAAAGCGTCTGCCTTCCTTCTACATGTACATGTAGTAATCTCGTCTTTTAGCTTGGAACACACAGGCATACATTGCATGTGGCCTACGTATAACTACATTTACTTTCAGAACTGTAAGGTTTATACAAACCTTATAAATAGCCATGTGCAAACTCCCATGAACACATTTTGGCTGTTTAGAATGTGCCAACTAACCTTCCATCACAGCTATTTTTGCAACCAAATTTCATACATGCCTTCTTGGTGATGTTAGCTGCCTGATGGGGACGTTTATTCACCTTATATCCTCATTAAAATGGTGACGTTCTTGAGCTTTTTTCCCATCCACTCAACAGAAAATCAGCAGCATGTACATGTACTCTCAATCACTGTCAAGCTGTATGATAGCTTGACCAATCGCAACACAGCTCCTATCTTTTTCCTTTTGTATTCCTGTCACCCACAGACGAAAGCTGCACTGTGATTGGCCCAATTTGCTTCCATTCCAATGACCAATCATTGCTCAACTTTTTTTTATGGGGTGAGGAAAACAAAAGGAAAAGGTAGAAGCTGTGTTACTCACCTCTGAAGTTATCTTTGTTAAAAAAAAAATAAAATCTGTTGTCCCTGCCCTGCCCCCTTCCTCCATCGCATTGACAGATCCCAGACTCAGGCTGCATCTGACATGTCTGAATCCGTTGTCTAGAGCTAGGTCTAGGTCTTCACTCCATTGAAAGTACGTGGAGATGCGCAGACAATAGACCTAGCCGTAGCTCTGGAGGCCCGTTTCGGACATGGCCTTGATTGTTTAAATACATGTACATGTACACTTTTTACTACGGGCCTTCATGTGTTCTGTGGAGAGTTTTGTAAGCTTCAAAACTTAGTAAAGTTGGCCTACCTATAATTTAGTTACAAGTGCACATTCTCTGCACTTGATGAGATCAAAGTTAGCGTCCCCGTCTCTACCCACATACACATGTACACATACATGTATTCATGTACATGTTTGTACGTGTACATGTCCGGGTACATCTTACAGTGTTATCAGGTGCCATACAGTACATGACTCGTTTGTACTCTTATCTATCTGATTATGATCTTAAACAAACCTTTACATGGATGTGTTATTTATACATGTCTAGTGCTTAATTTTTGCAGGTACGTGAACTCAGAGTGCAACACGGCCACACCAGTCTACAGCTAGTGAGAGGTCAACGTTAGAAGCTGAAGAATTGTAACTCTCCTCGTAATGGCGAAGCGGAGGGCGGGGACTGAACTGACCGATAGAAACTGGGAGGAGGAGGAGGTGCCCGAGGAGGTACCGGTAGTTACTTTTGCAGTACAAGGTCAAATGTCACTTTCGGGTACATTTTGCTTTACTTTTTTTTTTTTCCATGCTGCTGTTGCGGGTGCTTTTCAGCTGCGTCTCTTGAAATTGAGCTGGGAAAAAACAGTGTAAATTGTGGCTTTGAAGAGCATGTATATTGTAATGTACATGTATATTGCAGTGTATAAGGTACATGTATATGGCATATATGTACATGTACTTCACACTGAATGAGATTCTATGGTAAAGCTACATTTTAACCATGAATAGATAGCCAGTCAACTTACCGCAATGTTTGATAACATTGTAACGGCTTTGAACAAGACTAGATATTTCATTGTCTGTTTTCATAAATTTCGATATGGGCAACAGGCAAAATCTGTTTGTTTTTGTTCTTTTCATTCAGGCGGGCACTTTCAAGGCTGCAGGTGATGATGTCCTAGCCCAGCGTGTCATCCGGAAAGCCAAGCGCAGATTCCAAGCGGGAGAAGGCAACGATGCTGGACAGGTGTGTTTGGAGTTTTGCTCAAACACATTGGCCATGTACATTACGTACATGTAGGTGGGGACTAATCTTGCGATGATACACGTACTCAAAAGACATTACTGCACCTGTATTACGCTCACATTCAAGTCGTAAGCACACATTTGCCTCTTCCATAATCCGTTCTGAGCTTAAGTGCATCCCCAATCGGCGAAAGAAAGACATGCGGTTACAAGTTGGATCTTACATGGGTTCTGCGTGTAGGTAAAGACCATACATGCCAGAATAAATTACTTACACGTACTCAGCGTGCTCTGCGTATATACTTGTGTGCGTCATGGTATGCATATGCGGTGAGTACCCCCCAAAATACACCCTCTTTTGTTCAGCTCGGAGCAGATAGGGTGTCTTGGTTTTTACTGAGAATGGGTTTTGCCCTTACACCGACGTACATGTATACATACACGTAACACTGAAGACTCAGTGTTTATCAGAGAGCTTGCGAAAAAAATTCACAAGCTTACCATTACATCTTGTAGTTTGCAGTACCCGCTGGCTGCATCTGACTTGGACCAGCCAGCTGACCCCGCCAAGCTCGGTGGTCAAGGCCTTGTATGTCTAGAGATTCCTTATGAGAATGTTGAATAAAAGGTCATTGAACATAGATTCTTTATTGTTGACAAATAAAAAAAACTCTGGGGACATGTACTGTGCAAAAGGCAGCGATGCACCCCAAAGTGATATGCAGATAAGAGACACCGTTTACATGAGAGAAGTCTGATGCTGAGTTTACATACAGTCATCTTTTTTGTGTCTTGGACACTATTGGAACAAGGACTAATGGAATTCTTTCACATTGAAGACTTACCCTTCTGAAGGTACACATCTGGCTGCATTTTGAGTAAATAGATTGAAAACATTACACTTGTTGTGCGCAATGTGCATGCCTCCGTAAACGCCTCTTGTAAATGGGGAAATTCAATTATCGATGCATGTACCTTACTGTATTTCAGGGAATTATGCTCAGATGATAAATTACCAACACATGGAGATCATTTCCATCTTGCTGTTTTCTGAAGTTATTTTGCTTTCATTTATATGTTTGAACAGGATAGTGATACCAAGCCCAGCCCATTTGTGGGGTTTGCCTTTGGCACCAATAAACCATCCGCGGGGTTCAGCTTCAAAGTTACAAAGAGTGACACGCAAACAGCCCCCTCGTTCAGCTTCAAGTCCTCTGTTTCGGACGTTGCTCCGGCACTGGCCAAAGCTGACACTATCCCCATTTCCTCTGGGCCATCCAGCAGCATCTCGTCTTCCTTTGGAGGAACGAAACAGTCAGCATCCCCAGCCAGCACGAACGGAACCCAGGGTGTGGCCACGGGTGGGGCACCACAGCCGCCACCCACTACTGCATTGAGCCAGCAGTACTCCCAGAAATTGCAGAACCTGAACCGTTCCGTCAGCGCCTGGATCCAGAAACATGTGGGCGAGAATCCAGTCTGTGATCTGACCCCAGTCTTTGAAGACTACAAGAAACACCTGCGGGAGATTGAGAAGCTTCGGGCCGGCAATGTAGGAGTTGCTGGGTCTCAGAGGATGGAGACGTCCTCAGAAGTGGAGGCATCTGCTCCCTCAACAAGCTCGACTTTCTCCTTTGGGAAGTCGTCAGACACTGTGCAGGATGCCAAAGTGTCGGACTCGATGAAGGCCAGTCCTGCGACTTCTACCTTCTCGTTTGGGTCCTCAGACGGGAAGGGCGCATTCGGAAAGTCCTCAGATGCAGACCAGTTTGCAAAAGCAACTGACTCTTCAAAGGCCGCTCCCACGACTTCCACCTTCTCGTTCGGCTCATCAGACAGCAAGGGTGCCAGTCTGCCCAAAGCTGACTTCTTCAAGAAGACTGCGCCTGCCGCGACCACAGATGCCAAGACCTCAAGCTTTTCGTTCGGCAGAAGTGACACTACACCTGTGGCCCCTAGTTTTTCTGCTGGAAAATTTGGCAATCCCACCACAGGGTCACTCTTTGGATCAGCCAAGCCATTCTCGTTTGGTGTTGGCAAATCCTCAGATGTCACTACATCGTCAGAAGCTGCTACAACAGGTACCCAGCCCTCTTTCCGTTAAAAAATAAGGGAAATAAGTAAATCACAACCACTTGCCAACATTAAACATCACAAGTTTGAGTGCTTCAAAAATTGATCTTAAATTTCTCAGAGAACTAAAGAAAGAAGTGAATATAAATAGTTTAAAAATATCTTGTTAAGTATCTGCTCAAGAAATGCTTCATAATATTGTTTACTCCAGCTTCTGAAGATTCAAAGACTGCCAATGATGACAACTATGAACCGCCAAAGGTAGAGGTCAAGGCGGTTCAGGAAAAGGACTCTCTCTACTCTAAAAAGTAAGTGTCTGTGCACTTGTCAGGTAGGGACAAGTGTAATCTTAAAAGAACATTCCAGCTCGTGGCACAACACTCAAGCAGAAGTACTGCATGATCTCAGAGAAAAGTTCTGAGACTGAACACCCAACCTCAGATAGTGTTTATAGAGTACCGAAGTGAATACGTCACGCCCACAATTAATGTGTAAAAGGCATTAGCGCGAGAACCAGCACGTGAACCAACACGCGCGCGTACTCCATTCGTGTGCACTGCACTTTCTGGTCCACAGTGACGTCACACTTCGGTACTCTATAAAAGTTGTGCCTCCAGCAAAGCATCATCAGTCCTTCCGTAGGGTATGTTCTAGGATTCAACAGCAGTGAGCCTGTTTGGTAAAAAGTATCAACAGCGCGTGCCCATAATGAAGCATGTCAGAGGTCCTTTAAGAACACCAGTACGGGGCGAGTGAGTCCCATCGGTGCAGCTGTACACCGCTTCAAGCACACACTGAATAGACGTAAGCTGACATGCTTCCTGAAGTACCAAACTAATCTCTCCATCTTGTGGTATTGTTTTGCCTTTCTCTGAGGCTTTGTCTCTGACATCAGACGTGTCCGAACATCTTGTATAGGTTGCAGTATGAAATCATCCACCTACATGTATGCCTGTTAAACCTACAGTACAGTGCATTACGAAGAGTTCCATGCACGGCCAGCTCACGCTGTCTTCATGAAGCTCAATGAGTTTGGAGGCAGGACTTGACGGGGCTGTCATCAAGTGTTTCAAATACTCTCATTGTTAGGTCGGCAGCATATACATGCATGCAGTTTCACGTTCCAGACACAAATATGGCTTATTATTGAGCCAAGAGCTTCAAAACCAGCAGGTTATGAATCACGTGAAATTGGAAATGAAGACAAAGCCGAGTGTTTGAAAACTCCTGAGAGATGTAGGGTTGTAGACCATCTAGGCCTTGATAGTTGTCTCTACCGGACTCTCTCCCTGATGTTATTTGCTGATTGCAATGACAGGTGTAAGCTGTTTTACAAGAAAGGAGATGGGTACAAGGACCGAGGGGTGGGCATGCTCCATCTGAAGAAAACGGCCGACAGTCTTCAGCTGCTGGTCCGAGCAGACACTAACCTTGGTAAGTGAAGTGGCTTATGCATGGCAGTACACCAGTGGGAGACTTTGAGATGCATGGTGGCGGCAGACGGAGCGGTCCTTTTCCGCAGTTGTGCCTGTGCCTACCCAAATCAAGCGGAAAAGAATTGTTGTGACTACCGCCACCGAGCATCTCAAAGTTTTCCATTGCAATCTCCCTGGCATCTGTACCCCAGCAGGAACCCAACAGGCACAGTCTTCGTTCTTTGAAGCCCCCTGTTAATCCCATCTCTCCTAAATTCAACGGTGGTGACGGGTGGTTGCACAATGAATGTTGCATGTAGCAGTGTCCACAAGTGAGAGGAGAGTATTCAAAGAAGATGAGGGGTTCATAAAAAGAATATATGATTGAGGCAGCTTTGTGGGAACAGCAATTGGCGACGTGACACGACAAGTACAGTGTAGTAACACTATACAAATTCCTCATCTAGAGGTGGAAATTGACATTTAATTTGAAAACCGTTTAGAAAATTTTCTAAAACGTGTTAACGTCCCACCCTTACCACAGTGTCATCGAAAGCTTTAAACACAATAAATTGTATACAATGTAGATAGTTGAGATAAAATTCCAGTGATGAATTCTTGGTGTTCCTTTGATGTCACCAAGCAGTAACGTGTTCCAAAATTCAGATTATATTTATGGGCATCGTTTACAATAGAAAACGAACACCAGATTGTGTCAAAACGTCAAACCTCTAAAAGGGGCAGTAAACGGATTTGGAACTGTTTTTGTTTAAATGTCCCATCCCTTCCCTCCTCCCGTCAGGTAATGTCATTCTAAACATCACAGTCCCCGCCACACTACCCATCAGCCGGCAAGGCAAGAACAACCTCCTCCTGGTGACCCCCGTCAACCCGCCGGTAGAGACCACCTGCCCGAAGTGCAACAAGAAGTACCCCAGGCCACAGGACAGTAACGCCTGCGACAACGGCTGCAGCCCTGATCCCATGGCACTCCTGGTCCGCGTCAAGACGGGCCAGGATGCGGACGAGGCCCTGGAGAAAATCAATGAACTGAGAGGGGTATAACCACTGCTGGTTTTCCTTGTAACGTTTTTCGGAAGGGGGCCCCTATGCCCCCCTCGTCATTTTAAGTCCAAACTGGACAGATCCCAGGTAGCTGTCTCTAGCCAGTGTTGTAGCCATGACCTTCTAAGGCCCTCACAAGACCCCATTAGCCCGACATAAGATCGCAAGTCTGAATTCAAGACACAAGCAGTTAAAATGCACTTCAGCAACAGCATTCTTTGTCGCCGCCCACCCTGTTACTTGTGATGGGTCTTGTGAATCATCTCGTGTTTGGTCTTGCGATGGTTTTTACTGCAACACTCATTTAACATGAGTGAACACGATTCCTGCTGTGTGTAGCTCATGCATCCTGATGCCTTGAGAACAGAGACGTGAATGCCGCCTTCTTAAGCAATACTGCGACGTCAGTAGGCCTATGTAGTAATGACATCACACATTGTTTACACATGGACTTTTCTATGGAAGCCCTTTTTGAGGGTTTTGAAACTCCACAGGAAAGCGCACATTTGAACAACGCACATCACCAGTACGGACGACTATTCGTAGGAAGCTTGCAGGTGTCCGGGTGTACAAATCCCATGCCAGGGAAGGTATTGTTGGCTCACTCCAACTGAACCACTGGTTATAAGATAGAACACGTCACATGAACAGTTATGTAAGTCATGATGCAAAACAAGCAAAGTAGGATTCAGATTCTTCATAGTAGTGACCCAAGACGGGCACCTGTGCCTGTACATGAAAGAATCAGTGCAGTATACATGGGACGGAAGTGATGGCTTTTCACGTCTTTACGATAACTTCTGGGCGGCACACGTTTTTTGATTCGCCATTACCCTAGTTGTTGTACAAGTAATTTCCAATGAAATGTAATTATGTGGATGTTGCCTGCATGTACATGTCAATGAGAATGAAATCTTTATTTTATTACTTTTTACTTTCAATAATTTTTATCATTGTAATAGCACCAGTAGAGTACAGGATGAAAATTACGACTAATCAAGCATCGAAAATAGAACCCACTGCTGCAGTGGTAACTTATATGTACAATGTACATGTGCGTTAAATGCATCTTGAACGAATTAGGTGTTTCCTACATGTACATGCAAGTTGTCAAATGCACAGCACCTAAGAATGCATGCGACATGTACATGTAAATGGCTGCACATGAAGTGCAACCAGAATAGTGGCATTTACCGAGTTCACCCAGCAATGAACAGACCAAGTCCTTCGTCATGCACTGTAACGGTGCATCACGAAGGACTAACACGTCAAAAATTCTGTTGTGCGGGTTTTCCCTCGTGCAAACACTTACCAGAATGCTGGTAAAAAAGACTATCGCCCTCCCCCCCAAAAAAAACCAATTTGCAATAGGAAAGTTCCTCATTAACTCAATGTTAACCCTTAAGAAAGCTCAATCTTGCTTTTAATTCATAATTGACACGTACGACTTTGACACCGGTATACTTCAAACAATATACATGTACATGTAATTGCTTTCATGGTGTGAAATATACATAATACATGCAAAGTTGAACACAGATAAGGGCACTATTAACACAAACTCATGTTCATGACATGGACAATTTTCAGGTCTCAAGTGTTTTTTGTCCTATTACTGATAGTGTAAATTACTTGTTACAACAGGGTAATTGGTAAAGTCCCAAGGACCTTATGATAACGGTATTCCACTGTAGTTCCCCAAAAGTGGTACCAGTCTTTAATACACCTGTACAATGCGAAACTGGCAGTGAAAGAAACCCGTTTCATTTGCAAAAAACCTCAAAGATTTAACCTTTATTCCGAGCATGCTGTTGAACAAGATATACAGTAATGGCAGCAATTCACTTGAGGGAATTTAACTTTACCATCTTGATACCTGTGAACTTAAAGTGTGATTCGACAAAGTCCACAGTTTTTTAATTCAACTTACCACTAGCTAGTGAAAAGCAGTGAATAAAGACACAAAGATTGACTGCCTGAAAGGTGTGTCTGTGCTTCTTACTGTTGTGCACAAGCAAATCTACACGCAAACGTTTATCAGTAGACCACTTGCTACGGTACTAGGGTTTTTCTTTCAAAGATGACTGGTGATGTTATAGAAACATGCAGCACTGCATTGGACTCACCTTTGTTTAAAGATGGCAGATTTCGGGCAGTAAATAATGAGCATTTCAACAGTCACAAGGGAAATACATTTCCTACTTTCTTTTTTATATTTTTCAGGGGCTAAGGACTATCTTCTACGATCAATCTTTTGTTCAAAGCTGGCTTTAGAAGATGCATGTACATGTAATCTGTTGAGTAGTACTTTATTTATACAACACAATGTATGGGGGCACAGAATGTCATGCGAGTCACAGAATGTCATGCGAGTCACAGAATGTCATGCGAGTCACAGAAATGGCATGCGACACGTTGTGTGCATTCTTCAATGCACACAGGTCACCCAACAGGTCAACATGTCAGAGTCTATTCCTCTATGATCCAGTTTACATGTTTTAAACTCAGTATGTTTACACAGTGTACATGCAAGTACATGTAGGTACAGTTGAACACTGACACGAAGCGCAGCGATAATATCATTGTCAAAAGGACAATTTTGAGTCACTTTTTGTTTTCCATTTAATACTGATAATGCAATGCACCTGTAATAACAAGGTAATTAGTAGAGTCCCATGAGCCTTGTGTTTGACTGTATCCATGTTTTATGATACCAGTACATGTACCACTAAGGAGGGCGTTACCTTCCCTATTTCTACGACATGAGAATGTCCCATAGACTCGAGCTCTGGCACTAACACAGAGGCAAAAACAAAAAAACCCAGACCACCGCTAGAGAACAGGGGAACATCCTTCGTTCCCTTTGCGTTCTGCCTGCCCACTCGTAAATGTGCATGATACGATTACCCGGAGAAACTTTTCTCCCAGTCTTTATAAAAAAATTAATGCTATATAGTCATTAAATACACGTAGGCCATATCTATAATAAATTCCTGCAGATTATTAGAGGGTGTTAGTTTGAGCATGAAAGCATTTCAAATACTGATGTGCAACTGTGCCAAGGGGGAGGGGCACTTTCCCCTTTCCCTGGAAAAAGAAATAAAAAGAACTTAGTAACAAAAAATATGAAAGAAATGAGAAAAAGAGGTGAAATGGGATGAAAAGTCATCAATTTTCTTTTAAAAAACCTCCAAAATGACCCCTAGCACTGTTATTGGGTTATGGGTAATTCCATGAGGTTGGGGCACAATTTGTGACGGTGTCCTTGTTACATTGGTAAACTTTTACCACCTGTCATGACCTGTAGAGTAGGTCATTATTTTACTCTGTAAAAACAACACACACCTCTGTATTCAGCCTTGCAAGATGTTTAACAATGTCAATTTGGAATCCACTTGCAGGGAAATAGCTGTTCATTTTTACGGAACCCATGTAACAATGGACACCGTCACAAATTGTGCCCCAACCTCATGGAATGACCCTTATCAGTTCGTTGCTGGTGAGTACTTTGCCACTGGGAGCCCCCCCCCCCGAACAAAAATTAGCGACGCCCATGATGCTCTGCTCGGACAACCTGAAGTTGGCAGCTTTTGAAATACTGAACATCTACACACCTAGCACCTTAATTGTCCACCACTCAATTTTTCATCAGAAATCTTCCCATGTACTGCTGTATCTACGGTACAAGAATTACAATACAACCTTGCTTCAGTTAGCCAGTTCAGTATTTCTAAAAGCAAGGTCATTCAAGAACAAATTACGTGTGTTGAGTCGGCGTATGGCCTGCAAAGCAGACCTCCCGAAAAATCGCGGATGCGCTTCATTTTATATCTGTGCTGCAGACGGCTCACTACTCAACAACTTTGCCACATGGAACAAAAACATGGCACACTCGTACACTGTATTTTTATTGGCTCATCACGTGGCCAGGGAACAAAAACGTACGTCACCCTCACCTGTGGATATCACATCGTGATATCAATGACCATTCCCTATAAACGTACTCCATAGTCCACACCACAATACAGGGACCATTAACCGGACTATTCATTAGTACCACCATCTGCTACAATATTACCATGCAGTTGATAAAATCCTGGAAGTGAGCATTAAAATGACACAATACGATCCGCTGTTGGACCGCTGCACATTTTGTCGAAGTTAATTACTCCACAAATGTTCTTTAACATAATGTCTCCTTTGCTTGACGATTATTCGATACATGCAGTTTTTCGTCTGAAATAGTTTTGAATAAATACACATGTAAAGATACTACTTTCGAGCTAGACACGTGAGGCCAACACAATTAAATCAATACGACGATGCATCGAGTCGGTGAAACTAAAAGTGCAGCAACAAACCTGACTGCGTTTTATTCATATTAGCGACCTTCAGGTAAGAGAAATATTACAAAGAATGGGATAGTTCGATATTCCAACAGCGTACGCCCGGTACGAGGCTATTCAGATACAGCAGGGCGCGTGCGCGATACATGTAGTATCGTAGTTTGTCCTATCAGCACAGCCATACACTGACTCACGCGCACGCCTGGTCCTGAAAGACCTTTGCTTACATTTAATAAATACAGAACTGGCTCATTCAAGACAGCCTCGCGTGCTATGAGTCAGTCCCCTCGGGTGTTAAAACATCATGTCCCACATCAGGGTACTTAACAATTGTTCAATGTTCACATGCCTGCACGTGATGCAATTCAAAATTTATTGTATACATGAATATTAATTTTTACTGATTCAATAACGTTGACACGATTCCACTTCTCAAGAACTCCGCAGCGACACTTGCATGTCACGGCAAGAAAAACGCAAACGGTAGACATAATTTGCCAAGTCCTCAGCAAACATTTGATCAATTAATACTTGCAAGATATGAACGAAAAATGTATTTTAAATGGCAATACAATTATACTGACTAGGACTAGGTATTGTGTTCAATACTGAACGGTTTCTCAGATTTTCATGCAGAATCAAATAAAAAAAGATCCTTTTTGGTACTCCTTGACTTATAGAGGTTACTGAGTGTGTATAGTGTCTGTATATGCATATTTGTATTAAATTATTATTATGGGTTTTGCCCTTACAACGACGTACACACATACTCATAACACAGTGCTCAGCACTGTCCGAGAGCTTGCCAAAAAACCCACAAGCTTACTCGTGTGGAACTCAAACCAATCACCTTCTGCTTAGTGCAGACGTCTTAACCACTCGACCACCGAGCTTATGTGCATGCATTTGTTTCAGAGCGAGACGGGTTGAGTGCACCTGTGAATCCAGGGAGCAATGCGCCGCCTCCTCAAAAAAAAAAAGAAAAGAGAAGACGTTGTTGGTCCAGTGGTTGTACAGCTCCAATATTCCTGGACTGAGCAAAAGGTGCCTTCAATGTTATTTCAGGTTACTTGCAAACATCGGCCAAGAAGAGACATGTACAAGGGTTTTATACTTTAGCCTGATTGAGTCTGCCCTTACACAAGCAAAATAGATGTAATCTTCAGTACACAAGACACTTCCTTATGGCTGCCTAATTTGATGAATGTGTTTGGGAGTGTCTAGTTAAACGCTTTGCATACTTGTAACTTTTGTTGCAAATTTTGCAAACGAATGGAGGTTGAGGCCGCTCAGAGTGAACCAGTTGATGGTTCTGTAGAATGCTCTTCACTGCAAATGTCCGTCCACAAATTTCACAGAGAAATGGCTTCTTGTCAGAATGTACGTGTTGATGGTAGCTGAGGTTACCCTTCTGAGAGAAGGCTTTCCCGCACACGCCACAAACAAACGGCTTCTCGCCCGAGTGAGTCTGCAGATGGTTCTTCAGGCCGGGGAGGGAGGCATAACTTTTCCCACAGATTTCACAGTTGTACGGTTTCTCTCGGTCACTTAGCGGGATGTGGGACTCCTGGTGGCGTTTAAGATGGGAGCGGAGAGTGAATCCCCGACCGCATATCTTGCAGCTGTGGTTTGTTTCGTTGGAGTGAATCTGCTGGTGAGTCCATAAGTATGTCTTGTTGAAATCTTTACCGCAGATGTTGCAAACTACCCGCCCTTTTTCAGTGTGAATTACTTCGTGCACTCTCAGTGAGGTCTTGGTGCCAAAGCACTTCCCACAGGTGTCGCATCGGAACGGCTTTTCCAAAGAGTGCACCGCTTGGTGGTTTGTTAGTTGGATGGCCTGGTGGAAAGCCTTGCCGCAGATCTGACAGCGGAACGGCTTCTCTCCAGTGTGGATCCCTTTGTGTCTCCTCAGGTTCCTCTCCGAGACAAACAGTTTGTTGCAAGTTTTACACCTGTATTGCTTCTCGCCAGTATGAATGAGTTGATGTAGTTTCAGGTCACACTTTGTCATCAACTCACTGCCGCCAACTTCACATCCCCCGGATGGATGCAAGTGGCTTTTGTGGGGAGTCTGTTCATCACTATATGAGGACATTTCATTTGGCAAGTCAGATTCTGTTTTATCAGATTCTTCCTTCACAATAACCCTATCCATTCTGTTTTCTGAAAGTCTGAAATGAATGAGTTACTTGATACGGAATATGTTCATATCCCTGTATGTTGTGTGCATTCCTAACAGGAAGTGCGAATTCAGTTATCCTGCATCCTTACACTAAGTACACATTTTTATGAGAAATGTCCAGCATCTTTAAACTCCGAGTTACTTGGCGATTCTATCAAGTCACAGTCTAGAGAGCTCGTCCCACGTAGAATCTGGGTTTCAGCTGCATGAGTCTTCTGGTGGGTTCTAAGACTGCTGAAATGCAGGAAAGCTTTGCCACACACACAGTTGTATGGTTTGATCGATTTGTCGCAGGTGTGAATACGCTTGTGGGCAGCCAGGTGCCCTTTCTGAGCGAATGCCTTTCCACAAGTGTCGCACCGAAATGGCCGCTCTGTGGAGTGGGTAAAAGTATGTCTCGTCAGGCTGCACAACTGTGCAAACGCTCGGTCACAGATACTGCACACATACGGCTTCTCCCCTGTGTGGGTACGCTGGTGTGGCTCTAGGCTGCTCCGGCTGGCAAAATGTTTCCCACAGGTGCTGCACTTGAAGGGCTTCTCGTCGGAGTGTGTGCGCTGATGCACTCTCAGGTACTTGGGACAGGCAAAGGCCTTGCCACAGAGGCCGCAGACAAACTGCTTCTGGTCGGCGTGGATACGCTGGTGGGTGGCAAGGCTGCTGGCATAGCCAAACGACTTGCCGCAGGTGTCACAGTGGTACGGTTTCTCCTTAGTGTGTGTGCGCAGGTGCCGCTTCAGATCGCTGGCTTGCGCAAGGGCCTTACCACAGACCCCACACAGATAAGGCTTTTCTCCTGTGTGGATCCGCTTGTGGGCCTCAAGGTTGCTCTTGGTAGTGGACCTCTCCCCACAAACGTCACAGACATGGGGCCTCTCATCAGTGTGAGTGCGATGATGCCTCTTCAGGTGCTGCTGCTGCGCAAAGGCTCTGCCACAGAGGTTGCAGGCAAAAGGCTTTTCTCCTGTATGAATCCTCCTGTGTGCTGCGAGGTTGTTTTTCAGGGTGAAACCCTTTCCACAGATGTCACAAATGAATGGTCTCTTGCTGTCTTCAGTCTCAGTTGGGGCTGAAAGATCTAAGTCATTATGTGACACACTGCTGCTGCTCGTAACATCACGGTCAGGTAGTTTCTTTTCAGTAGATGCAGGGTAGCAACCTGCAGTGTTTGCTTTAGGGCTATCAGAAACCACAATCTGTTTTGGAACTGACAGATCCAAGCCTTTTTGCCGAACTTTACTACTAATACTGTCAATGCACGATACTCTCTCATCAGTGATGCCAGCAATATTAAGTCTGTGATCTAAAGTACGTGTAGCAATGAGTGAAACAGGAATCGGTTTGGGAATTGAGAGGTCTAGGCAACGTTGAGGAAATGCACTGTCAGAAGGCTTTTTTTCCCGACTACAACTACTCTGACTAGAATGGTTCATTGAGACGAAATCAGTCTGAGAAAGCATTGCAGCATACGATGCAAACAACCACTTTTACATGTAGCTGTTACATTTGAAGCACGCCAAGTCCTCCATTGTTCGCAATGTACATACCATGTACCTGTACAGTGGTCAACACGGGTTCTAGATCAAGAGGTGATGGTACAGTTTCAAGTACTCCTGGAATGCACAAGACGTCTGAATCTGGTTCGGTAGTTATTCCTCTAATTCTTTCCTCGTGACTTCTGCTTGACACATTATCTTCCAGGAGGTTTCTTTAGTCAGTGGCTTTGTTTCGAATATGTCTCATCCATTTTAGGTCCATGTACATGTATAGCACAGAAAATGAGATACATGTACTGTACATGTAGTTTTGCACACCTCAAAGCATGCAGCCTTCTGGATAGTGTGGTAAACAAATGACTGAACTGGATGTTCTGCCCAAGCTTCTGCCATCTGTTTCCAGCTGTCAGACCGGTGCTATATGACCCACTGCCTCTTACATGACAGTCATTGATACTCTCGCTTCCCAACTGTTGTTGCCAACCTTTGTCATGTCAGGCTAGTGTTTTACCGTGTCTAGGATTACTTTGTACATGTGCATCATTCTTTAGAGCAAAGCACACTACGATGACCAGGAGGTCCAACTACATGTACGTAAATGTAGACTTTCGCGTTCCTGCAGCAGTACTGTGTCGTCACACCCCCATCACTGTTCAGCTTCAGTGCTGCTGTGGTTTGCACTTTGAATTCCTATGCAAAAATATCAAAAAGATTTTAATATTACCAGTCATGCTGGTGTAAAAGTAGAACATAATTACAGCCCTTAATTTTTAAGGGCTGTAGAGTTCTGACACATTAGTATGAACCAAGCCCTGTTATATGCTTGACTCCTACACGTGCACGTAGAGGAACACACAAACATATGCATTTCAAGGAATACTACATTTGTTTGACTGGGCTCATCACAAAAATTGAGAAGCTTTGATTTTACAAAATAAGCAAGTTTATTTCAATATGTGTGTACGTGATTCAGCAATTTTTATTTCGAGACAAACAGCTGCTACATCTGTGCAATCATAATGGTGCTTGTACGGTGGAAGATGCCAACAAATCAATACATGTACATGTAATGCTTTTAATTGGAAAATTTTTCGTTATTTTTGACTTTTGAAAGAATTGCAGTATGCTGATTCGGATACATGTACTGGACTGTACATGAATACATACATGTACGTCGAGTACGACGACAGCTTTCGCGTGAGATGAGGTCCGGATAATACGAGCTCATTTAGCAAGTCCCAAGGCCCCCGTGCTAAAACGGGAGTCAACTGTACATGTACACTGTACCCCAAAGATATGAGCGTAGAAGTGCATGTGTCTACTCTGTCTACCTAGTGTACACGTATTTCAAGCATTCATTATTGAACCTATAAGCACACCCTACATGTTACAATGTAACTCCTATTCATCTTCTGTTCCTTGAGCAGATTCTGATTGCTAAGAACAGAGTTGCTAGAGTTACGGTACGTTAGACTGGTTCCTGTTTCAAATGCACCAATTTGTAGCACGGGAAAGCGGAAATACATTAAGCATTTAAAAATTTACAAAATTAAAGAATGGCAGCTTGCAAGAAGAATTTGAGGAGAAGAACAGGCAGAGAGCATGTGTGAATTGCAGTGATGGCAGTTATAGATCCTAAATAAAACAGTAATCACTCTAACCGTGACATAAAAACATGTGGCAAAACTTTTTAAGAACTGGTGATAGTATTGGTCATGATAAAGCAGTGCCTGCAAGCTTATTGAAGCAAGCTTATTGATTGGACAGCACTTTTTTAAAAGTGTTATATATACACGCATTCTGGTGAATGGAGCGCTGAATAACCATGTCAATACGTGACCCAGCAAAGTTTGGCACGCCAGCAACTGCGACTGTCAACAAAACTGGGTGTTCATTACTTTCAGCGGCGTCTTCCTATAATAATGAAACAAAGTCTACTTTACAAAAAAACAAAATCACCCATACAAGTAAGTTGGTTGTGATGTCCCCTTTTATATAAGGAATGTGACTGTGAAAAGGGGACAGGGCTTTGATTTTGAGGAAAATTTTAGGGTAAAACAGCAGCATGCATGACGCGACGAGCATGTGTGAACAGAATCGAATTACATGTAGCAAAGGTTATCTGGTTCCTTCATCTGGATGAAGATATTTGATGAATCTTGTTGAATTTCAGTATATTCACAATGGCTGGATCGGGTAACCAGACTAGTGGTGAATCAACTGTGAGGTTGTTGCTTGCCAAACACAGGTGATAACATTGTGGGGTTATAACGTACGAGTAAATATTGTCAAAATTACCTTAACTAGAGATGCTACATGACTAGGATTACACAGACGCTTAAGGTCAATACATGTATTTTGTAACAGTGGACTTTGTTTAATCATCACAGGAACAGGGTGCTGAATTGAAGTAAAGGTAGGAACACCCACAGTTGGGCACTGGAAAGAGTTCAAGTCGGGGCACTGTAGAAAGAGATCTATACACGCAATCACACGTATGAAGCCAAATCACGGTTCACAACAATGCACAATGCATGACATCTACAGTCAACCAACCATAAAAACTAAACGTGTGAAATTAGGCTCCTGTAACATTTGGGCTTTATTTTCCTTTAAAAAAAAAACCTGCCCACAATTTCGGCCCGGGATTCGGCCCAACTCTGGTTGATTATTTCTCCAGAAATTTTGTTGACCTTATCCAGGTTTATGCATCTTACACTTGACACAGATCATCTAAAATATTACCCCCATGAACAAGTGCACACACATACGTGTGATAGAGTACATGTAGTATTACTTTTTATGTACATGTATATGTATTTATCTTAGTTCTTACTTCCTCCAAGATCTGATGATGTACATGAAGCAAGGGGCCTACATACTGTAGGCCTACTTCAGCCTAGGCAGGCTATTGTTACGAGCAAATTTCTGGAAAATGAAAACGAAAAATGAAGAAGCCCTAAGACGTCAAAAATAGAGTCTAGGTGCCGCGACAATCCAGTGAGTGATTGTGAATTAATCTGTCAGTGATTGTGAATTAAGCTGGTCCACTTACCGGTAGTACATTTGGTCAAATCATGGAGGAAGGATGGTCAAACAATAGTCCCACTAGTGTGGCACGGACTCTCACTCCCGATCCATCCTTAGCCACACATCCGTATACGCAATTTCGTGTCGACGTATTGAACATTTCGGCGCACCCACTTATCATCGTGGGCGCCATTTCATTTGCACACGGACATGATCCTTGACCTTTCCGCTTTCTAAAAACCATTTATTGACAGATTTCACTCACGTTATTCAGGTATTTTCCAGTCTTTTTGCCTTTATCCATTCAATCTAACAGGCCGGCTCTCCCGGTCGCCATCTTTAAAATAAGGTCCTTGAAAATTACGTCACTTGACCCCTCATCGTCTCGATAACTGTTTAATGTCAGGACATATGTAATACACGGACTGAGTGATAAGATACTACATATGCCAATGGGCTCTTCCAAAGCTTTGGCAGAAGTTTAGATATCTTGACATGGAACAGCCGTCGAGACGATGAGGGGTCAAGTGACGTTTGCTCAACGACCTTATTTTAAAGATGGCGACTGAGAGAGTGAGCCCTTTAGATTGAATGCATAAAGGCAAAAAGACTGGAAAATACCTGAATAACGAGAGTGAAATCATTCAATAAATGGTTTTTACACAGCGGAAAGGTCAAGGACCATGTCCGTCTGCAAACAAAATTGCGCCCACGATGATACGTGGGTGCGCCAAAAATATTCAGTACGCCGACACGAAATTGCGTGGCTAAGGATGAAGCGGGTGTGAGGGTCCGTGCCACACTAGTGGGACTAGTCAAATAACTGCAAATCTAACGTACCGTATCACGAGCAGGCCCGATACTGCACGTACAGTATGTATCCGTACTCGTACCCCAATGCAGCAGTCCAGTGACCATGTACACCGCATGATATGACAATACGACCTTCTGGCGGCTGAACAAGTACAAGTGTGAATAATCGCAGCAGGCACCAGTCTAAACAGGGAAACTACATTAAACTTGTCTAAGTACTTGGTCAGTTCCTGTGTGTAAAAAGAACATTCTGCTCTTCATTTCTCCGTTTTTCACTTTTCTGAAAATAACAGCTGAATATTTCACCTTTTATGTTAGTTAGTTTATTCTGACCAAAAAAATGGAACATTTGTTGTACCTTTTTTCTTTCTTTTTTTTCTTTTTTTTTTCCCTTTTTTTTTTCACAAGAAAACTGACTGAGCCGTTTGAATGTATCTAGCCTAGTTTGGGCTTAAAACATCATCGTTACATTTCACCGTTGGATGCACTTCTCGTCGACCCATAAATAGGGCCCTTCGTCTTAGCGGCGTATCCAGCTTTCGGTGTCATGGGGCAAATTCACAAACAAATGCAGCTTCGGGTTCATTCAACGTGATGTTGGGGGAGACAAAATATCAAAAGCCTAATTCACGGTTTCGACATCCTTGCTTTTATTTGATAGTGTTGTCTTGTTAGCGTTTTGGTGCTAGCTAATTATAAGATAAATAACTATACCGATTTATTTCTTTTCTATTAACCCGTGTAGTATTTTTTTTAGGAAAACAAAAACACTGAAAAAAAATCCGCGGGGGGGGCGGCAAGTTGATGCCCTGTGGGGGACAGGGCGGCAACTTGCTCTCCGCCGTCCCCACCCCCTGGATACACCACTGCTTCGTTTACTCCTTCGTCGACCAGTATCGACGGAAGAGTGTGGGCCCCGTTTAAAAGGTCTATAATTCTTGTAGCATACATTGAAACCTATTTTGAATGGTTCCTTAGTGAGAAATAAAATCAGCCATTGATCGCCAGCGGTGCGACCACTGCTCAGGGTTTGGTTCCAAATGATGGTCGAGCATCCATGTTCCGGGCGGTGTTGTAAGGCGGACTGTATAAGTTAACTATTTTCATACAGTCGTCGCTCGAACTTGCCTCGGGTTTTCGACTTTGAAATTAGAAGAGTGGATTATGTTTCGAAAATTTTGGAAAATTGAGGGGATTTATTGTCATTTCACTGAGCGTTACTCTTCTGCAATAAGTTGAATTTTGGGGGCAACTTACGATTGTTTACTAGAACTGATGTCACTGGCTTTATTTACCATTAGTTTTCAAACTTTATTGGCTACGCCACGTCAATGTTACCGTAATGGTCAGACTTGTCCATAACCTATACTACGCCCCATTATGTGGGCTAAAATAAAGACGGGCCCAGTACCTTGCCATCATGGGTGCATATAGTCTATGTGGATATGTACCTCTCCAGATCTGAGGGCTTAATTGCGGCTACCTAGAATGAATTTTATAGTGAGCCATTTTGCTCCCTCCACAGCACATGCGTTCCGGGGCAGCATCATGCAAACGTCTGCCTGCAAAGCATAAGCTAGGCCTATATGATGGCTGATCCATCTGTCACTCACACGTGTAATCAAATCGAACGTACCATCAATGGCAACAATAGTGAGACTCTTTCGAATTTTGGAGTGTTTATTAAACAAAGTGGATTCAGCCATGGGGAATGATCCCAAATGGCCATCTCGTGTTCAAAGCCAACAGCTAGTGGGCCCTACTTCAGCCAATCCGCAGCAACAAGCATACTGGTGATTCCGACGTTTTGACTTGTTCTCGAGAAACACACGGATCAAGATGTTATCTCACGCAGCACGTTCAATGTCGACCGTAAGTGTACAAATCCATTTTTACCAGAAATCATATGTATAGCCATGCATTAGCTTGTCAGCATTTTTCATGAAAAGACGAATTTCACTCTGCAGCGCAACACTTAACTTTCCAGACAATCGCGGGAGAACGTGATGAATTCAATTGCACAAAAGAGCGGATCTCAGGCTGTCGATACACAGACTGGAAATCAAACTTTGCAAAGGTTGATTTGAATATTGATGACGAAACGAGTCTCCCGGTTTGATAAAATGAGAAATCAAGAAACCGCTCTGCTAGGCCGTTAAATTCACATTCGTTTTCGTCCAGTCTTCAAGGTCTCTTAATCCTAAAAGAGCAGGGGGCGAAGTCCGCCCCCTCGACACTTTTCTGATATCGCCGCAGAGCATAAGTTTCAGGAGCTAAGCCTTAAGGAGTATCTCTTTGGAGTCTTGTTGACACCAATTTTGTGAAAATCGAAGGTATCATTCTTGTGCAGCACCAATGTTTTCCCGAGACAGTTAAGCCAATATGTGTGTTTTTTTCCACAGCCGTGCTCAATGCACGCAGGCTGGCAGGTGTGTAACTTTGAACTCAAGGTGACCTTAACAACAAAATCGTATGTCTGATTAAGTGCAAACTTTACATTTGTCAAGGAATGTCTTTATGTGTAGGCCAAGGTAAAAGTTTCGCGCCTGACATGTAGCCGATTTTTTTTTTTGGGGGGGGAGACGAAATCCGCCCCCAGCTGATAACGATGGACCAAAACAACCTGGCTCTTTGAGCGTTAAAATTGTGTCCCCCTGTGAAAAGAGCATCTGCTACACCATCTCTAATAATGCCATCGCGCGCGACAGGAGCATGTGGACTCGCTACATTCGCGAGCCAAATTCAAATCTTCGTTGAAAAAACAGCAAAGGCAATCTCAGTGAGGGTAGGAGTTGCCGCTCAACACTTAACGCAATATCAATGGAGTTCGGCCCTTCGTGGGAGAAAAACACAACTTTGGCGCATTTAGTGATCAAGATTTGGATGATTTTAATACATTCGGTCAAAATGACGTCACGAAGTCGTTAGCATCAGATAATACTATAACGCTAACTGCGCTCAGATACATGTAAATGCAGAAATTCCAACAGGGGTAGCCGGCTTTCATCTCGGCCGGGTGTCTTTCCAACCAGTTTAACTTCCCTTTTTTATTGTAGAAGGGGTAAAGTTTTTTTTATTACATTACAATCTACCGTTCTTCGGGTGTGATGTCTAAATGTAAAAAATAAATAAATAAAACAAATGATGCTGGGCGCCTTACACTTGACGTTGTAACTGCCTTCAAACTGGTATAGGATTGTTAAAACAGGTCAGATGTCAGTACAACTGCAAGAAACGATCATGCCATTTCCCCGCGGCCAGAGCTCGTTGGACTGATCAGACCGCTCAAACGATATCGTGGGCTTCGTGCAACCGCAATCTCGAAAAAGCGACGAACCAGTGTTCCACTGAATAGCCTACGTTGTCCGCTTAGAAATGATTTTGCTGTAAAATAAATTGACAAACTTTGACTTCCGTCCATTTTTTATATACGTTTTAAAATATTGACTGTTCCAAAGGTCTTGTAACTTAAAAATGGGCCATTGTGCTGTGTGCAATAACATCCTCGTTCATCGTCATAACAATACGTACAACCTCGAAAGAAGCCAAAGTGGCAAAGAAAGTAAACAACACTGGGCAAATAGATATAGGGGCGCGTGATGGTGTTCGAGTGCAATTGAAGTGCTAATTGACACCATACTGACCATGGGTCGGGTTCTTAAATCCAACAAAAAAATTTAAACAAGTAAATACATGTATCTCTCCGTGAAGGATTAATATATCAATTGAACACATTTCATTGAGACATTTGGCATAGGGAATAAAGTCAATATAAAAGCCAAGCTCTTTAAAACTGACCTGTGGCAATTAAACAATACGTTTAGCTCGGTCAGCCGGATAGGAAGGCTTAAAACACCCTCAATATGATCATCCAATGGGGCCAACGGATACATTTATCTAATCCCATACAGTGAGTTTCAGGGTACACGTCCCTTGTGTCACGTAAAATTGGTAATTTCACTGCCATCCATTCCGTCTGGAATCCAACGCCATATGGAGAACCCTGTTTATATATAAACCCTGTTTATAAAAATAAATTTCTTGCTAATCTACGGGTCCACCCGAGATAAAAGGGGAAGCACATCTCAACTCTTACCTCCCGCAACGCCCTTTTACAGCAAAACCCAACACCTTTGTTGAACAGACCAGAAACAGCTCCAAAAACCACAGAGCCAGTGAATAAAACACATTTCCAATTTATCCCATGCAATATGACAAAACCACTCTTAATACCTTGAATCAACATTTTGACATTCGGTAAACTCTCTTGAGACCATAACAACACATCCCCCAATTAATATCACTGACAGTGACGCGCCTGTATTCCCTGGGATAACGACGGAACTGACAGCTTCATCAAATGCACTCGACACATCAGCACAATTAAGAAAAAACATCATAGATTACATCAACTTGCTTAATTTCATCAACCTCCTTCGAAAAAGAAACACGGTTGTCATCAGCCTGACAGAAATTCCAAAGTTGAATGTCCTCACGGACAACAGTGATTGGCCTTGCTCGTCGGTATGGAGCTTGAAGCATCTTGCTTTTCTGTGACCCCTTTTAGTGAGAGTAATGACACGGAAACTGGAACTTCTCTTTTCGGTCCTCTTCCGCTCAACTTGATGACGAACGCTCCCAATACACAATATTCAGGATTTCCAGTGCCTCGGATCATACTTGCCCTTATTAGAGTTTTAAGATTAAACTCCAAATTACTTTACCCACACTCATTTCGGAATTGTTTATTGAACAACCTTACTTTTAAGTTCTGAGCCTACTTTCCAACTCAGCTTCGCTTCTAGCAGTTCTAGAATATATTATTCAGTGACTTCTATCCGTACACGCAATTACCTGGCATAAGGAGAGAAGGAATTGTTATCCCACTCACGCCTATTAGTGGCTTACATAAAATACAGTTCAAAACGTGTATGTAAATGAGCATGCACATAATATTTTGAAACAGATCTGAAATTGCACAGCTTTCCACTCTGCAAACATCTTGAACGATGAAAGTCAAACAAGTAGCATTTCCAATTCACGTTAGTTAAATTAAAGCAAGATAGCTTGTAAACATTGAGTTTTGGTAAAGGGGATGGCAAAATACGGATTTTTCTTCTGAATAACATATTGGAAATATTTTCATCCATTAATTCAAGTAGCATTACTCCGTCCCTCCCCCGTGAAAGTGGAAAGTACCGCGTTGATTCCTTGGCAACTTGACATGTTTACGGCGTACACATGTGGAGGGGGACACTGGATACACAATTGCTTTTTGGCATAAAAGAGCCGGCTTTAGACTAATCCGATAAGACTGCGGTGGCACCGCACTCACACACACATTCTTCAGCTTGACACGCGCGTGCATTTGGCAAATCACGACAGCCTATTGGTCGAACAGACATGTAACGCGGGCGTACTACCTGTCCACGAGCGTTGTGCCACCGCAGTAATAGCTTCTAATTCGGATGGTGGTAATTACACTATATACCTTTAAATGCACACCCATACTTATGTTAATTTTTGCAGATGGGGATAACAAACAAAACGGTTGCCATTATCGGCTGTGGCGTGGCCGGTCTGGGAGCTGTAAAGAGCTGCGTAGAGGAAGGTCTTCAACCAACATGTTTCGAGAGATCGGATGGCGTCGGTGGTCTTTGGTACTATCGAGACAATAACAAAGGAGAGATGGTGGCTTCAGTTGCCAGGTCGACTGTCACTAACACCAGCAAGGAAACCATGTGCTACAGTGACTTCCTTTTTCCCAAGGAGTGGCCGAATTATCTCCACAACTCGTACATAAAGCAGTACTGCGACATGTACGCTGACAAGTTTGGTCTCAAGAAGCACATTCGTTTCATGACCAGAGTCACCCGCTTGGCTCAGGCTCCAGACTACGAGCATAGCGGGCGATGGGTCGTCACCACTCGACCCGAAGGAGCAGCTGGCCACGAAGGGGAGACGAGCCAAGAGTTTGACGCTGTTATGATCTGTACAGGGATGTACAACAACCCCTACATCCCAGAGTTTCCAGGTCTGGATGAGTTCCAGGGGAAGGTAATGCACAGCCGGGATTACCGAAGGCCAGAGGAGTTTGAAGGCAAGCGAGTAGTGGTAGTTGGGATTGCTAACTCAGCAGTAGACGCAGCCACAGATGTGAGCCGTGTGACATCGCAGGTAAGGATTAATCACTAGCAATTAGCTGAGGGTATGCATGGCTGCCATCTTGCAGGCCAGCGCGTTTATTCAACAGGATATGCTAATGGAGAAAATTTTCCTGTAGGACAAAACGCCTCTCCTGCCAGATGGCTACTATCTACAGTCTCTACAGCCATTCCCTTTTCCACTCCACGTTAAGTGGATGCTAAAAGATGACGATAATGTTTGGTTGCTTATTATGATGTCAGTAAGCAGTGATAAAACAATAAATTTAGTTTAGGAAAGGGTTTCTCGCTGATGAAGATAAGGCAGTTAGGTGTAGAAGCCCTTTTAAGAAGAGAGAATAATTAGACCTGTTTTCATGGTATCAAATCAAGAAGTCTGATTTCGTCCGATACAGTTTTTACATTTTAATATTACAGGTTTATCTAAGTACCAAACGCGGGGCTTGGTTGACTGGTCGAAGAGGCGGTTACGGCGTTCCTTTTGATTTGCAGCTTACTCGACGGTACTTCTGGATCCCTAACAAGCTGAAATTTTTACTCTTCCGAATGTCACTTAAGCGTCAATTTAACTTTGTCACAACATCAATCATACCTTCCCATCCTCTACTGAGCTGTGAATTTGTGGTAAACGACGAGCTGCCAACTTGTATCTTGAATGGGTCTATAATCATTAAAGCAGCACCGGCAAGGTTCACGAGAACGGGTCTTGAGTTCGAAGACGGCACCCGTGAGGATGACATCGATGCTGTCATCATGGCCACCGGCTACCGTTTTAAGTTTCCCTTTAAAGTGGACTGCCCAGCTTTGGAGACGAAGCAGGGCAAGGTACCTCTCTATAAGCTTCTGTTCCCGCTGGGCATGAGGCATAGCACGCTGTCGGTCAACGGGGCAATTAAACCTCTGGGCTCAGTCATCCCCTGCTTGGAACTGCAGGCTCGCTGGGCTGCGCGAGTCTTCGCCGGGTTGGCCACGCTACCAGCTCAGCCCGAGATGGAGGCAGAGGTGCAGAAGTCGGATGAAAGAATGAAAGGGCTCTACTTACCATTCCATTATCACGTTGGTTCCATATCTTACGAAGACTATATTGCCTCTGAAATTGGTGCCAAACCTAATTTCTGGAGGCTTTTCTTTACTGAGCCCTTACTAACTCTCCGTTGCCTGTTTGGCCCTCATGTGCCTTGTATCTATCGCCTCGTGGGTCCTGGAAAGAAGACTGAGGATGCCAAGAGAGCCATAAGCAAAGTTTGGGAACGTGTTGAGGAACCCTTGATGACAAGACGCGTAAAGTAGAACGTCAAATTCTTCTATCTTTTAAAATGTTTTGTTTCTGGTATTGATTACATTTTTGAGCTATCGTTAGTGCTTAAAGCTAAAAATTGTACTGCACTTGTTGTCTTGTACAATAGGAAAATATTAAAATTCTCAGAAATATTAAAGTAATATGATCATATTACAGCCTTATAAACTATCCATCAAAAGCAGCACAATATGTGGCCATTTGGACACTCTCTAGTAGTCCAGCTTGTAAAAGACATGCATGATTTCACGCTACTCTATTCAAATATTGTTTAAAAAAACAATGAACTTCACTTGCTGTGAATTTGAAACAACCTTGACACCTCTCGAAGTGGTAACCTTCAAGAAAAGCTACGACATCAACATGTTATTTAAAATTTTCGGGGTAGTGTAAATGCATGCCGATAAACTATTTTCGAGCTTTCTTAATTTTTTAAAGTTTGTTGCTGTATAAAAGTTGTTGTTTTTTTATTTCAATCTGTACTACACTTCTTCGGCGAACATTGCGGATATAATTAGTATTTTAAACGTTTAAATTGTACGTGTAATTATTTCGTAAAGACTGATATGTATTCGTCGTTCTGTACGTGGATTTTGTATTAAGAAGCCACCCGCGAAACGTTTTACGAGTTCTGTTGATAAGAATATCCCTTTGTCTCGTAATAGTCTCTTTGACATGAAACCTTGCCGACCTTTGTTCCACCAAACTCTTGGCTATATATACGCAGTGTATTTTTCCCATGCTGTCAGTCACAGGATCTGGTTCAATTTGTGTTCTTGGCGGATCTTAGACTAATGTGATGGCAGTTACAGTCCGCCAGCCAGGTTTGCATAGCGCGCCGGATTATCTACATACATGAACACAATGGCCAACGCGTTACAAACTTTAGAAGGCGCACTACTGTGAATCGCCCGTATGTATTACAATGTGCGTAAGGAAAAGGTTCAACTGATTTAAATTTCTACGTTACGACTGTAGTGAGATATGACGCACTACTTTTTCATGTCATACAATGCATGACAAAAACTACTCAAGTTGCTTCGATCCCACCATATCAGGTCAATGTAACGATTTCTGTATTTTTCTGAATTGAATATTTCATGTAATTTTTATCAAATTTTGGGTGATTGTATACAATTATTACAGTTAACAGCACAACTAATTTTTGTAATGATTGCATTTTGTTTATACACGAATTCATGAATTGCTTCCTTTTTGAAAATTATTTTATCAAATAAACAGCCACGCTACTGCATGGTTTCATGTTTCCGGTTTTTAATTTCCCCGTTGGTTTGTATTTTCATTTCTGTTATTTTCAACTAATTTCAATTAAATATAGTATTCTCTTCGGACTGAATACACCTTGCCATAACCTGATCTCACGTAATTATAACGTACCACTATTTCAAATATATTACATAGTAACCGATTGTCTTTGGCCATGTCCTCTTTAAAAAGAGGGACGTTAGTTCAAAACAAGTACACGTACATGTACTGGTTTGTGTCACGACCTCTGTGCTTGCTCAAAATGGAGCATCCATTCAAAGTTGTGAAAAACTTTGAAATGAATCGTGTAGCCTCTTTAAAACGGGGCCTATACGTTATTGAAAAAACCCTTCGATAGAGAGGGTGCTCAAAGTTGTGGTTTTTTTAATATAAAGAGACGATAGCCACAGCTGAAGTGAGGATATTAGTATCACGTTTCTGAACTTGTCACTCCGTCAAATGCAAATATATACATGCATTCAGACTCCTTTCGTTGTAAGTTAGTCTTTTAAGATAACGACACCCTCTCCATTTAAATTGTGCCACAAGGTTTGAGCCAAGTACACATATACAAGCTACGGGCCGCTTTCATCGAAAGTGGAAACCAAGGTTATCACATTTGCACAACTTTATTGAAGCTTCTATATTTTATACCACGTCACACAGACTCCGGAATGCTAGTAAAGGTGCCATGGGGAAACGCTAAGGAAATGAACTTGCGTTATTGGAGGACAATCAACATTTTGACACACAGGTAAACCACTCCTGGGAAACAATACGGGCGTTTCACAACAGCGCACCACCAAGAGTTTGCAACGCGTTGGCCAATCACAGTGCGCGAAATCTGTCAACCAATGCGCGTTTATAAAGAGTCGACAGATTTCGCGCGTTGTGATTGGCCAACGCGTTGTAAACGCTTGGTGGCGCACTATTGCGAATCCCCCGTATTACGCTGAAGCACGGCGACACGTTATTGAAAGTGACCCAATTAGCGCAAACAGACAAACACACAGTGCATCAGTTTGTATACGGTGCATCCAGTACAAATACATAAACTGCAAATTAATATGCAAAAGTGTCTTTCAACACTACGTTTAGATCTACAAATCGAGATACAACACACACTATAACAATAGTATGGGAAAAAAACAAAATATAAACTACATGCATTCTATATTCTTAAATAGCATTTCTATAAATGTATACAGTAGCAATTTAAAGTGGCAAGATGGGCCTGGAAAAGTATATTTGAACTATGTACGGAAATACATGTTCAAGCTGCAAAGCTACTAAACTTTAATACTACCCAGAGTATCACAGCGCCCATTCACAGAGAAAAGTGGTAACCGAATGCAATGATGGAAAATAGTTTACAGAGCAATGTTTTATGCTTAAACGTAAAGTAGACACTGTTTGGTATGTCAATCACTGTGTCTCCATAGTAAGAGCTTGACTAGGTGACGAAAAAAAGGACACGTGGAAGCGATCACCACGCCAGCCAGTCCGTGACGTCATACTTTTTAACGCGACCGCTGATTGGCGAGAACACGCCATTTTTTGAAAAATCGTTCAGATCACCGCGTTACCGGGCATTTTGCCATTTCCCAGTGGAGGCAGCCCCCGCAAGAAATACTGCATGTGCTCGATTTTTTTCCTCGGCACAGAATGTCTCTCATCGTCCGCCGTGTAAACAGGCCTCACAGCTGTCACATTACGGCCAGTAATGTACGCGTAGTCTTGCCGCAAGACTGGTTTTACTGTTTCGGCCGGAGCACTGTGCAGATGGCATGCGCTGGCGAGGTCATCCGAACAACTACCAATAGAGGGCACTATATTCACATGAGACGACATTTCAGAATATACCAGGCACGAAATGGGACAGAGGGGTATCCCTCAAACAAGTCCAATCCCTATACACACTCCAGCCTATTGCTACTTAACATGTCCCCCAGATGTCTGAAAGGAATTTGAGATACCAGTATAACAATGACCAACACAAAGGCGGGGGGGTCTCTCTGTCCCACAGGTTGCATCAAATGTGCCAGAAAATCAATCTTGTAGAATCTGGCAGGCTTATCCTAGAAATTCCGAGCAAACCTCACGCGCTCAAGTTCATTTGAAGCAAGATACGGGACGGAGAGAACCCCCCCCCCCGCCTTTGTGTTGATCATTGCTTGATCGTAATCTCAGGAATTCTTTACAGACTTCTGGGGGAGGGGTGTGTTAGGTAACAATACTCTAGAGTGTGTATAGGGATTGGACAGGTAAGGGGGGTACCCCTCCGTCCCATATCTTGCCTGGTATACTCAAGTTCTTGAATAATAATGCCCGTACTCCCAAAGACCACGCTTGTAATTTTTTTTTCGTCTAGGAAGGTTGGGGGCAATTATCATGAATGGGGTACACACACTTTTAAGTATGGGACACAACAAAATTGCTTTTCTGGCCGACTTGCATAGTAGCTGAGCTCGGCTAGAATAAGCGCGTTATGTTTTGAACCAATAAGCCGAGGGTTCGAGTCTATGTGGTATTTTTTTCTTGGTGGGGAATTAGTTGGTTGAAGGATGTTTTTATAATAGGAAATTAAAAGCCCGACATTCATCTTAGCACTTAACTTAAGCTTGTAAGTGTCCACTATAAAATTGGTCAAACTTGCAGTTAATCATGCCCATATACATGTATGATAATTACCCCTAACCTTCCTAAGCCCTGACAATTTTCTCTGCGGGGAGCTTAGGTTTTTTCACTCAACAGTTTCAACAGGGATGCACCGTCCTGAAAGTAATTTCTTCAACACTCACATTCGTGAACTATACTTGTACTATTCAACGTGGGTGTGTACATGTATATGTTAAGGACATCACTACAAACAGGTAGGGGGGAGATATGCAGGTATCACATCTCTCCCATTTGCCCATAATGGCAAATATCAAGCGCCATTTGCCTTTGCTGTTGGCAAAAATATTGTCGTTTTTGTTGGCAAAGTTGCATGTACAGTCTAGAGTATTACCATATTTGGACTGCCTATTACGTCATAAATCTAGCGCAATCTGACCAATCAAAAGCCTTCTTCTAGCAGCCTGCCACGGATTGTATTGGTGTTTCCATGTTACGGGGTGCTTTTCTTGCAGCATGTGTAACAAAAACACTAAATGAAAAATTTCAATTGCAAAAATTTGATTGGCTGTGCAAAAACCTGACTACAGAGACATATAAGCTAGAATTTCTAAAACACGTTTGTGCCGATAATATTTCAAAATTCGTTGTTGCCAACTTAAGATGTTTAAAATTAAATTTGGACAAAAATTGCTGAATCAGAAGGGAAAGGTCACAATGCCAGCATGGTAATACTCTAGACTGATGTACATGTACCTGTCAGTTGGCAAACAGAAGAGGCCACCGTGAACAGCGCCACCTGGTATCTGAAGTGCACGTTTATGTCTCAGTTAACCTGATTTCCAATTTTGTTTTCCTATGTTAGAAGGTTATTTTGCTGTCTTTTCAGTTTTATGTGCATTTCCGTATTCATGAGCAAAATGATGATGCCCTCCAAAGAAAACCTACATGTACATGTACATACATGTACATGTATATGTATACATGCATGAACAGCATAAAGTTGCAGAAAAACTAAGAAAAAAATGGTGTTACCCTTTCACCTTAAACAGCAGTGCTTCATGATGTCAAGCCCCCTGATAATTTTGTCATGCCATAATCCTAGCTGGCTTTTTCCAGACTTCAAAGTACATTTGAAATTTGACAATTGATTTCTCCATCACTGGATGAAAACCAGTCCTTTTGGCATAATCAGTTTGACTATGAACATATTGTTATAGTACATTGTAAATGTACAAAAGAACCTCTTTTAGTAAAACTCACTTAAAGGGCAACCCCTTATCACAGGACAAATACATGTATATGTACCACTGTTTTTTGTGTCTAACTGGTCTGAGTGATGTCAAATTGTTTCAGATAAAAACAACAGATGAACATGTACATACATGTACATTGTACCTCAAATGTACAGTTTGATTAAAACATGGACAACTTGTACCAAATAAGTGTCCTCACACTGTACATTTGATAACAAATTCAGCCTAAACACAAACTACTGTAAGTGTGTGCCATCTAAGAACTGCTTTGGCTAACAGAGCTTTGTGATTCAAGAGCATTTTGTGACCTGAATTGCTGGCCGTAAGTAAATGACTCCTGACTGCAGTGGCCCCGTTGGTGGGACAGCAGAGAGCGCTTTTTGGTGAACACCTTTCCGCAGTCGCTACACTTGTGCCCAGTCTCTCTTTGATGGACCCGCTGGTGGGCCTGCAGAAATTGCATGCGCGTGAAGCCCTTGCTGCAGACGCCGCAGACAAACAGCTGGTCCCGGCTGTTGTGGATCGTTTCGTGGCGCTTCAGATTGGTGGCTGTTTCAAAGGACTCGCCGCACACTTGGCAAAGGTGCGCATGCGACTGTGGCGCGGCGTGCACCAGTTGCTGGTGTCTCTGAAGGGTGCTACTGTCAGAAAACGCCCTTCGGCACACACCACAATCATGCTGTCCCTTTTCAAGGTGGGCCTGCTGCTGGTGGCTCTCTTGATGTCTGGGATCTTCAAAGGCTTTTCCTCTGACATTGCACTCAAATTCACCAGGCTGAGCATTGTCCAGAGCTGAGGGTGTCTGAGAACTCTGGATTGTAGATGAAGTTACAGTTTTTGCTTCTTCAGCCCCAGTGTCAGTCAAAGGGTGGTTTTGCAGAGGAAGGTTATCATGAGTGACTTTCTGACAAATATCAGGGATGTGGACCTTGTTTTCTGCCTCATAAGCATGGCTGGTGAACTGATGCTTGACCAGACTCCTTTTCGAAGAGAAATTTACTCCGCACACGCTACAAACGAAGGGCCCTTCATCGGTGTGCGTTTGCTGGTGGAACAACAGGGACCGCTTCACTGTGAAACCGTCCCCGCAAATTTCGCAGGTGTACGGTTTTTCAGCAGAGTGGGTGAAGTGGTGCAGGTTGAGATTGCAGCGGCGCAGAAATGCCTTCCCACAAATGCCGCAGACAAAGCGCTTGTCCCCCTTGTGGATGAGCTGGTGCCGGGCCAGGTTGCTCTTGTCGGCAAATGATTTGCCACAATCTTGGCACACATGAGGCCGAGCCTCCGTGTGGAGGCGGCGGTGCCTCACCAGTTCGCTGTGACTGGACAGCGCCTTGTCACAGATCCCGCAGACGAATGACCGGTCACTGTGGTGGATCTCCAGATGGGTTCGGATGGAGCGCTGGTGGAAGAACACTTTGCCGCAGATGTTGCAGGCAAAGAGCTGCCGCCCACTGGTGGGGTGCTTCACCTCACGAATGTTATCATCAAATTGGTTTGATGCTATTCCATAATCCCTACTACCAGACGGGCCATTTTCAGTACTGAACACTTTGAGGCTATGATCTCTTTCCATATTAGAACACTTTTGTTCAAAATAATGCAAACACGATTTAAAAAGAAAATAAGTTTGCCATGAGGCCAAAACTAGAGTAAGTCTAAAACCAGGCCAACACGTACACATACATGTACCTTGCTCAAATAGCAAACATCAAGTCAGGCGACTCTGAGAATTCACATACACTTTGTCAGTCTTTCAGGACACAGACTGCAGTACCTTTGTTCACCAATAGCTCCAGCTCAGGGCTTGTAGAAAGGCCATGCATAAATCATCATCACAAGCAATGGACTTCATCAATTCCTCCTTCGGGCCCATCAGAGATATCAGATGAAGGGCAGGGTGTCCTCTGGCCCACTCAGCAAAGCCAATCCTACACATGTGCATAAAGAAATTAACTAGAGTTGTAAATTTCTTATTAAATGCCATGAGGTTTAAAATACATGTACACGCTGGCCCTACACAAAGCTCTTTACCACATGGGAGCATGTGCCCCGTGCAGGTCTGCACGTGAGGTCTATGCTTCCCATTCCTCATACCTCCACTCCCCCCATCTCCACATCTTGAAATTTTGAAATGTACACCAGTACAATTACATGTACATGTAGGCCTACATGTACATGTACGTCCATGTACAGTATGTACATGGACAAGCTGCAGTTTGCCAGCTTTTGTCCCCCTCTGAAATAATGCGCGTACCCCCAGGCACCCCCTTAAAATTTCACCCTGTTCATATGAACATCACTGGGTGGGTTGTTGGCATGGCTGGGGTGAAATCTTTTGACCAGACTAGTAGTTTGACTCTTTGTTGGATTTACATGAACATGTACTTCAATGAATACAGGCAGCTGCAATCCCTTTTATTTTTCAAAGTGTTTTAATTCTTTTGAGCAGAATGTGCAAATGAGCCACATTTCCAGAAGAGTTCCGTACATGGACATGTATCATTAATTTTCCCTTTCAGTAGTTCATTATCAGTCAGAAAGTAATAACGTCCTAAAAAGTCAAATTTAACACTGAATACAGTATGTTGAACCAGTAACTTGTCTTAGAAAACACTTTTTTTCAGACCAGACTCATTGGGTCTGTGCTCCAGGTGTCAACTTTTGTGGTGTCTGGATATGGAACTCTTTCCGGCACAATTGCAGAATACCCTGCCACTCACCTAGTCCACCTCGTATCCGGATACACGGATACGGAGTTTCACTTGCGTGGTCACTCACAGACACATGCAAACTCTAAGAAGATTTTCTTTTAAGGAAAAACAGCACCCTCTGTTGATTCCTCCTCAATCCACCTGACTCCGTATCTCCGTAGCCACTCCCGGAACCCACATATTTTTCAACCTTCCCCAGATCAGCTGTGTATGATTATATAGATAGTTACTTCGTTCTCTAAAATGACTTAAATGCTCCACGCAGCCGGATGCTGTGACACTGCAAGGAAACTTTCTTAAGGGAAAATAGCACCCTCTGCTCCGTCTCCCTTCCCCCCCCACTGCGTAGCAAATGGACTTCGTCGTTCAATTGACTGCATAGCCATTGAATTTTAGGGTGTATTTTTGCATGGCAGGGTATTCTGCAATACAGCAATAAGGCCTACATGTACAGTACTTCCTCTCTCCCCTGGTGGTGACTCTCACCCAATCCTTGCTTTCAACAACAGCCCCCGACCCGATACGAAGTGCACATGCTTGACAAGTCTATTTGATTGATGGTCGAAATCTTCATTAGGCCCTATTATTATTTAAATACAGGTAAACAATACCAGATCACAAAGACAGAATATATAAGAACAAGGACTATACAAAGTAAACAATCAGCAAATGCCAGGAAAAGAAAAAGTCAACTCAATAACTGTGACCTAAAGGCCTTCCATTCCAATACTGTTGACTTTACATAAGAATACAGGCTTAGGCCTAGTAATAAACGACAGACATAGCATGTCCCCTAGTAGCCCCACAAATAGGGCTGTGGTGGCTCGCTTTTACAATCTGTCTCTTATCTGTCGCCACCACAGCCCTACTTCAAGGCATGTCTTAAATGCCTGAAATCCAAATGGCAGGATTGTCACAAACTTTGAATCCTAATATTTTCTGAAATGAGAATGACTCGACAATTTTACTTACACTGGTGTATTCCTCAGAGTTTGGACTTTCATACGAGCACCCTAAAGCTTTTCAAAATCGTTAATTTTCCGATGCACATGTATGGCGCCTTGAAAAACCCGGCCTGTAGTATTACATGCTGACCGCGGGCGGCGCCATTTAGAAAAACGAAGGCAGCACTTCGTTCGTGGGACGTCAGGGCACCCGACAGGTGCTGTAGACGCATAATTCATGTTGTCACAGTATTGCTTGGTAATAACTTGCGCATGCACTTTGCTAGTGTACAGTCCGCCCACAGCACGTGTGTGGAGCATGATACAGTGACATGCATATTAATGTTATTCAACTTAAATTTCACCGGTTCCTTGTTCGTCTGTCATGCAAGGTATGACGGGGAACCAGTTTTGTATGGTACTGCGTATACCAGAGCGTCTGTCGGGTGCCTTGAAATCCGACGAAAGAAGTGCTGCTTTCGTTTTTAAAAATGGCACCGCCCGTGGTCAGCATAATAGTACAGGCCGGGTTTTTCAAGCCGCCATACATCGGAAAAATTTACGGTTTTGGAAAGCTTTAGGGTGCTCATATAAAAGTCCAAACTCTGAGGAATAGGCCTACATGGCCTATGCCAGTGTTAGTAACATTGTTGAGTCATTCTCATTTCGGAAGATATTAGGATTCAAAGTTTGTGACAATCCTGCAGTTTGGATTTCAGGCATGTCAGGCATTTAAGACATGCCTTGAAGTAGGCTGTGGTGGCGACAGATATGAGACAGATTGTAAAAGCGAGCCACTACAGCCCTAGTATTTGTGGGGCGAGTTCCCTATTCGGCCTCGCTACAAGCAAAAACATCTACCCATTCAGCGGATTTTAAATCGATTCTATCCCGTTTTCTGTTATGCTTCCTACGCTATGCTCAGTAATAGAGAACGCACTTTACCTGAAGCTATCGTTTTCACGAATAATTTCAGGGCATTAGTTTAGGCCTACTCACCCGTCATATTTCTCAAAGCAGACAACTCGACTCTTGACTGGCTCCTATGACAGAAGAACTGCATTCAAGTGCTATCAGGATTTGTACATGTACAGTACATATACGGTTCAAACGCAGAGCGCCACCAATCGGTAGTGCGTAGCGTAAATAAGCGGCTGTTTGCTGTGATCGGCGACGGGCTTAATGGGCATCTCCCGATCAGAGTCCGGCCGACTGCGGTTCATATGGCCCGGGAAAGACTGAGATAGAGGGTGATGCACAACGGAGGTCATACCCCCTCCCCGAAGCATAGTTCTTTCTTGAAGTTAAAGTTGAAGGAGAAATTATTGGGGGGGGGGGCTGTTTCCCCCATCACAAATTTTCATTTAATATCCTCACCTCTCAGAATCAAAGCCTTAAACAGGATTATAAAAGTTATGTGAAAAATGTCCAATGCTCGGCCCCCCTCTCAAATAAGCCGTTCCCTCCCCATTAAAAAAAAATGGTTCTGGAACCACCCTTGGGGACTGGGGAGAGACGACATAGTACGGGGTTTTCATCGCTGAATTTGGTAATGTTGCCACTCCAGACATAGCACAAGAAATTAATGTACGTTATAACGTTCAGAGAGACATCCCAATGCGATCTATGGTCCGTCAGTCTGCGGGGGAGGGGGCAAGAGGTGCTCTCCCCTCCCAGAAATATGGATTTTAAAAAGGGCAAGAACCAAAAAGGGACGAAATGGGGGGGGGTACTGGGGTGAAAATCACCAATAAAAATACTTCCGAACAACTGACAGTTGATTTTATCTTAAGTTTTATTATTTTTTTATTTTATTACTGCTGCTACTTTTGTTACTATCTTCCCCCATTCGGAAGAGCTAACCCTCCCCTTCCTAGGGACGCCCATGTCAATGTTTCATGTGTCGGGTACAAATGTTACTTGCAAATAGCTATTGTGATCGCTATCACCAGAACAATCCCAAGCATGACAGTGTGCTTTGCAAATGGGCCAAAGTGCTCTTTATAGGCCTATACTAATCATTCTGAGCAGATGTCATCTTGAAGGTGGCCGAAAAACCTGTGTCCCAGAATGATGCAAAGCGCATAAAAAACTAGAAAAACACAAAGAACAATAACAGCAAAATACCCTGTTTAATTGGAACTACCTGTCTTCTTTGCGACATTACAGTAAACTGTAAATTATACTCTCCTTTAATAACTTCATTTTTCTATATGCAGTGAGTCGTGGGCTGCAGATGTTAAATTCATCAGAAAAGAGACACTCAAGCAACAGCGTTCCATGCAATATCTCGTTCCAACACAAACTCCTGTGGTGATTATACTCTCAAACAGGGGTGTTACCGTGGTGCTAGGGTTAGGTATACCTGGAACAAAAGTGTATCAAACCCAGATTTGAATATCGGCTACACTAAGGGGAAGGGAAGGAACCTTACAGATAAAAAGGAAAATGAACGGCTGGTGTAATTGATTTTGTAGTCTAGTCTGTGACTAGTTCCTGTAAATCCATCAAAAGTCTTTCACAGGCGATTCACAGGCTGGTGCCTCCAAGAATTTGCAACACGTTGGCCAATCCCAATGTGCAAAATCTGTCGACCCTTTCCAAACGCGCAATGGGTCGACAGATTGTGAGCATTTTGATTGACAAGTGCGTTGCAAACTCTTGGAAGTGCACTCTGACTTGTGAAACGCCCGTATTCGGCCAGTCGCAATAAGTCAAGTCACAGGATAGTCACATGCTACATTATATGGTAACAGAAACTTTCCTTTGTCGTCGTCAGTGCAGTTAGTTTGCAGCTGCTTTTGTGAATTAGAGGACTTGTGATCGGAACCGTGAAAGAAAGTCTGGTGGTAAACTCGACTACAAGCTGCTGACAGATACTGAGAGTGAAAACTTAAAGCACAATCCACAATTTGGATAATTTTGAAAAAAAATCGAAACTTTCTTCGAACTGAAACAGCCGCGCGAAGAGACTCACTTAATTTAAATTTTTGATCTAAATAATGGAAAAAACAAAATTATCGCGCGATATTGAAGACATTTCAATGAGTAGAGTGAGAAAGTCAACAGTAGAATTTCCTGGCGGAACGCAATCCTATGGGTGATAATGATTCACCGTCATGATTGGTGGGTCCAGTTTTGAAATATAAGGAAGGACAGGCGCTTTTATTTCCCTTCCTTCGCAAAGCGTGTAAATATGTCCAAAAGGTAGCCAAACCTCTCCGAAAGGCCGTTTCAGTTTTAATACATAGGCTATAGAAAGCAATCCTATGTTTGGGACCCCCGCGGAAAACATTTTTGGCCCTCTCCGTCGAAACATAGGTTCTGGTTCAGCACATTATTATGGGAATATGTAACCTAGGTCAATACATTTCACATAAAAGCAAAGGCAACCACGAGAGAAAACATAACACGTTCAGAGTGAGGTCAAATGAAAACTATTTTCTATTCGCTTTCATTGGCCATTTTTTCATCGTCCAATGAACACTGCTTAAGGTGTTATTGTAGTGTTACGAACTATAGGTGCATGCTGTTGCCTATACCTTAGATAATACTTTTTTCTAAAAGCTGACCATGTGCCACGACAGACATCGCTACAATGTGATGACGATCGTGAAACTGTTATTTTATGAGAGTTATCTGAATTAATATAACGGGGTTTGCCCTTACCCAACGTACATATTATTTTCATTGCTTGTCAGTGCTTTCAGTGCTTGTCCGAGAACTTGCGAAAAAGTCACAAGCTTACTCGGGTGGGACTCGAACCCACGACCTCCTGCTTACGAGTGCAGACGTCTTAACTACTCGACCACCGAGCTTGCCGGGGTCGGCTGGCCATCTTGAAAAGCGAGTCATCTTTTCACCTGTACAGTCCTCTGTATAGTGATTTACTTCATTCGAGTAAGCCTGTGCTTTATAAAGCACAGTTTTGCAGTATTGCATTGAGTAGGCGGCGGTGTGTCGTGGTGAGGTATTTCCCTTTCATACCTACCTTGGCTACAATAACCGTCCTAGCCACGGAGGCTAGTCATCCTCGTCCGAAGAGTCTTCCTCCTCTCGTCTATCCCGATCGTCCAGCTTGAAATTATCCTTTGGATCAACAAGCGGAACGTCGGACGTGGCACCATCCTTCGATCTGAGGTTTCTGGACTCGAACTTGGAACTGTTGGTAAAAATTGAACGATGAAGTCATTGCTATCGTCAGCGCTCAGGCACTTTAAAATACGGTTATCCCTCGATTGAATTTGAGCATACAGTGAGAGTCGTCCAAGACTGCCACATCCACCTCTGCTAAATTTGTTGTGTCGCTTTCGCCGTGTTTGTAATTTGAACGTTATGCATATTCCAGTAATGCTGACAAAATGGCGTGTGGACTGCTACTTTAGGTTCTTAAAGTTGTAACCCGATCAGTTGTGACCATATCGTCAACTTTCTTGATTCTTCTTTTGCCTTTGAGAAATCTGAAACCTAATTGGATTCGTTGAAAAGTAAGTTTGTTGTACTATCATTCTTAAACTGGAATAACTGGAAGAAATTACCTCTAGGCGTACAGTCGAAGTAGGTCTGAATTTCGGCAGGATCCGAGCTCAGAATAAGCTCGTCCAGATAGTAGCGAGCCTCGGAGTATGGTGAAGCGGAAACAGTCACTCCAGCGAGGCGGATGGTGAAACATTCACATGGATTTTCGTGCGTCAAGAACCGGAGCGTCGGGGTACCAGGTTGCGTGTTGCGATCGGATCCAATGTAGCAAACGTGACGACCGGAAACCAACACTTATCGGAGTTTTGCAATAATAATAAAGCAAAGTTGTCGTTACCACCTCTTTGCAAGCAGCAAAAACACAGGATAGTTATTGCGTTACACTTTGCTACCTTGAAACTAATTTTTAGAGTCTACTAAAAGGCAATCCAACAGCAGAAACTGAAGGTATAAAAAAAACGGGGAGACCTATGTCATAAACGATTTGGGTGCAAAACAGAGAATGAACTTTTGTTTTAATCTGCTTCTAAATGAAAACGACGCTACAGAAATTAGCCTCGGGTGTTAAAACATTGATTACAATTAATTTGTTGTTGCATTCTGGCGAATTCCTGATCTACTGCATTCTATTTAGCCTATTAGAGATAGATTTGAAATTATTTAATCCTAACTTCACAAGGTATGTCGAACTACACTAGGCGCCTGAGAAAAGAGAGTATAAAGATTGCCGTTCGCGGACCACCGTTACGACTACAATCCTTTCCACACTTTCTCAGATTGGCGTTTTGAAACGAATTATAAAGTGCTGACGCCTACCTGCCAACGCTGACACAATTAGAATCCACGCTAAGGCCTCCATCCTCTCTGGTGCGATGGACGACAATATCTATTATTGTGTTTCACTGCGTGCCCTTTCCCAACCAACTTGTCCACCGATTTGTGCATGTGATTTGGCTAAACCCCCCTATAAAACCGATAACCTTGAAGGTAAATGGAGGAATGAACAAGGCGCGGACGTGGAGACCGCACGCAATAAACACTTTTTAAATGACCACACGAACCCTCCTTGCGATTGGGCGTCTCTTGGAAAAATAAAAACGTCAAATAATGGACAGTAATTAGATGTAGATAATTTGGCCGAAGTGACAGGGAAAAACCTTTCATACTGCAGATGCTAAACACGAAAGCGGCTATATTCAGTAACAATGAAGTCTTGCTGTCTTTAATTGTTATCACGCGAGATCGTGATTCAAGTATAACGATGAGCCATCTTTGGGCTGCAGCGCATGCTCAATATTCAGGTAATGAATAAGAATAACCGAGCAAAGCAGCTATTCCAATAACCACACATAATTACTCTGGTGCTTTACAAATGGATATTTTTTAAAAATACAGCAAGCGACATAGAATCATACATGCCTTGAGCGCAGGAACCTCAGATGAAGGCTGCTACTTTACCCGCAAAATGTTGCCAACATTCAAAATCCTTAATAGTTAATTATGTGATTAGAATAATAAGTAAGCCTGAGTAAAACACATTCTCTTGCGCCAAAAAAGTCAATCTGATCACCCCATTTTTCTGCTGGTAAGTTTTATTTGAATTTTTTTTTACATGGAGAGGGAACTAGTGTCAAAATGTCAATTTTCTGCTGAGAAAAATTTGGCGTTATACTTTGACGACGTTCTTGGAGCCCAAATGTGGACACAATAAAACAGGAAGGTGTACTCCTCAGTTCGAAACAGAACAGCTTTTGGACCGTTACGTCGTAGTATTCGAAGTGTATTAACCGCAAAATGTGATAATCACTTGATCGAGACATTCAGGTATGGATAAAACACAAAAATCTCAGTATTTGTGCGAAGAAAAGTGGCAACACGATATTCGACTAAATAATTTACATACTTTTGAAAATAACCTAAAGATTATGTTTAAGTTAGCAATGTCTCCATGGTTATGGTATGTTGTTCAGAACAATATGCTTGGCCTATTCGAATCAAAGTGCAAGTTTATTTATTATCAGATTTCGGAATCTTTCATGCGAATCGCCGTCCAATGTGTTGACTACTCCGTGGTGGTGTAGACGGGCCCCTCTGTAGTATGGATGTCAGCATCGGCGATGTCGGTTGGAAATAATGCAAGTGCGTCTGAGTCTTGCACGGGCTCTGCGGAAATCAAAACGCAAAAACCAACCGTGCATGATGTGCTTTGAAGATGTATGGTTGAAGCAATCGGCTTCCATGAAGGGCACACTTAGGTATGCAAAATTTCTATAGGTTTTCTTCGAACACAATCTAGCACTTCATCTATGTATGGAAGCTTGTAATACTGCATTATATGAAATTCTTCCCTGATTTAATGTAATGGTTTTCGGCCGTACCCAGAAGACTATACAGCGTGGAAGACTAGAAAGTCTTAACAGAAGAAAACTGCTCGCTTTACACCACCACGAAGATTTCCTGTATGCAAAGCATTTATGCAGTGCTCTGGTTCCCTTGGCGCAACCATGGCAGTTTTTAAGCCAACAGCATTCACGTGTATCTACTGTGTATCTTTGATTGTCCAGAAAAGTTGATGTTCCCAACAAGCCCACCTCATGAACACAAGAGTTATATCAGCCTCGGCTGGGCACAAAGTCATTCGAGGCTATTTTCTCCAAACGTTTCTAACGTGTGTTCTGCCTTGCAAGGCCACTGATATTAATTTTTCGCTTCTAGAGAAAAAAAATCACCGTGTGTGAACAAGCTGATGAGCTGAGCCCCCCCCCCACTAACCACTAATAACGTACATGTAAGCCTACACTGTCTTTTCACGTGATTTCGAGATGGCATCCTCTCATAGAAAGATGTAATAATTCACAATCACGAGCACACGTCGCTTTTGGTACGTGTACACACGTTTGGCCAATTGTTGGTTTCACAGTATAGGTGGGCCAGTATTCTGGCCTCAGAAGTTGAGTATTTCGCTTTCCGAGGCGGAAAAATCAAACAGATATCTGCCTCACGCCCCAGGAGGCCGAAAACACTTCAGAGACGAATATTTGAGATGAGTACTTTCCAATGGGAAAAATAACAAAGCAGAATTAGTGTTACACGTAAAGTTTCCATCACAGTGAGACTGAATTCTGATAGTATAGTCTTTAACGTAAGTTCCATTACGGTCTAGGTATATCTCAATTTTTAAGTTTTGTTTTTCACGATTTTTTTTTCGAGAACAATGAAACGCTTTAAAATTAGGCCTATAATGCATAAACCGTGTCTCTCAAAATAGCCCCTTCTGACTTCAATTTACTACAAAGTAAAATTCTGAGAGTTGATTACTGCTAGATTGTTCTTGATTGCAATGAACACTCTTTATAAACAGGTGATGTAGAGAGTGATGCTGATACGCTTATCGATCTTTTACACAAAGGTAATGATTCAGAGACAAAGATTGCTTGCCACCTTGGTGATTTGCTACAATGACAGTAAATGGACATTATTAACTGATACCAATTACTTTTGGCTTTTGTAATAATTTTTACTCACAATTGGGCACGCAGCAAAACAGGTGTGGACACACATTTTATCAACAGATTTTCTTTCATCTAGTACTGAATTTTCAAGTGTATTTTACTAATCAAAGCCACATTTCCATTTGATACCAACTTGAGAGTGTAACAGAAATCTAAATAAAAACATTGATTTTTTTTTCGACACGTCAAAGAGGGAGCACACCTGAAAATCCCTTCTATTTAAATACAAATCACCTATGATAGGCCTTCAGCTGAAGGTTGTATCTTTGGCTTCTGTCTTACAACATTTCAAGCAGACCAGTATATTGTTTGTATAGATAGATGTTATACCAAGCTGAATGTGTCCTGTGGGTTCCGCCAACTCAAAAAGGCTGCCCTTACTCCAGAGAGAAGTGAGGCGGGCATGTTAGCCCCATGGGGAAACCAGGCTTCAACATCGTGACCAATATTTAAATAGGCGGTGCAGTCTCACACTTAGTGCATTAATTCCCTGCATGCACGACTGTATAGGTCGGCGCCCACGACACGATGCTTGTGTGGCGGTGTTGACCCTAGTTTTTCAGCAACCAAAATGGACCCAATCCCAAGCTCGCCGACGGACTTTCAACACGCTCATCTTCAACATTTCAACTTTTATAACGAGTTATATACGAGGTTGAACCCAGACTTGATCTCACCCTTTTCTAATATTGTTTCAACGATGTAATGCTAATCAGAGTTTGACAAATATTGGGCCTTTTTTTAAATTGGTTACATTTTGCCCCAACTGTTTTTCCTTTTCTTTGGGGTTGATCGTGTCAAACTTCAATTTTTAATGGGGATGGCATTAGATGGGACAATGTATTATCGTCCATGGGCTGGGCGGGTTTTAGTGCATCACTTTCCCAAAAATATTCTGGGTGACAAAAGCTTCAGAAAGTCAAGGTATGCCAGATAAGGAGACTCGTATGTAATCCAATTTGATCGGCTTAGTTCACCCTTCTCTTCTTTGACATCTTTACACAATTATGTGCAGGTGTGATTACATGAATTTTACAAGTAATTGTTTTACCTTCCCTAGCTATACTTCTGGTTTAGACATTTGTGTAAAGTACCGCTGTATGTACGTTAGTAATAAAGCGAAAGTGCAGTAGGCCTATTGGTAAGCTTAAGGGTTGTATTATATAATTTTGGCCATACGCACCTTAGTTGGTCAGTCCTCGTTAATCGTACAAGATCGGTGCTATTCAGGGGCTTGCTGAACCTCTTCGATGGCTTCACGCACTGTTCTTTTTCCATGCATGCCACCATCTTTACACAGCGCAGGGGGCCACGGACAGTCATCTTCACGCTCGGATTCGAGCAGGTCCTCCGACTTCTTCGCCTCCTGAAGACTCGCCAAGGCCCCGGGGCTCAGACGGCCCAGGGCTCGCCTGGCTGCTAACTTGGCGACAGCTTCGAATTTGTTAACCAAATCGTTGTCCTCAGCGCGAGCGAATAGCAGCGAAGCTGTCAGAAATAAGCAGACTGCAACACATAAAACAAAGCCCTTCGCCATTGTCAAAACAAACAGATGTTGAGCGAACGTCCTACGCATAAGGAAACGCCGCGCCTTTATATGGGTTTTTTGGCTTAGTTTCAAGCAATTCGATAGATGAATAAAAAGACGGACTTCAGGGCAAACATTTCCAACACAAAGAGCTTCAACCACTTCTGGAATGTGCGTGCAGTTCACAATAAAATCGGAACAGAACTTGGAAACCACACTCAGGTGGTAAAAATATACACATCAATTTTCCTTATTTATTTAAGCTTATGAAATTGTGCGTGTCCGTGAGCCAATGTTTGATATCTAAACAGCCATATAAGTATGACGTAAAATGCAAGGTTGCTATATTTGCTACTTTCACTTCCATTATAAGTTTTTCTTAAAACGTCAAGTCACTACTGTATTCGAGGGGTAAACTTTAAGTTGCTAAACCCTGGCATATCGTTCCGCAAGTGGCCTGATCCACTGGGAGTTTGACGACTGCTGGCAAAAAGCGATGTCCTCTTCTTAAACTTGATAAGTCCGCATCCAATTATGATTCGGAGCAGGATGGCATCCTCCTAAAAATCCAGGAAGTCTGCGTCCTGCCACAGTGATCATCTCAAAATGTTCACACCTTATATTCTCATGACTTCGGATCCCTTCAACAACTGTGTATAGCCATAGCCATTAAAAAACCTTTCTGAACACTTTCTTGCTACCAGTCGGCAAACACTTTTAAATCCTGTTTTTAGTCCTGATGGACGGTGTGTAGCATTTAGGCAATGGTGTCTAGGAACTGGAGAACACAAGCATCTACACATCCTAAATAAAACGACAGCAAGATTGTGTTCCACAAAACACAAATTTTAAAGCCACAATGACAAAATATATCTTTTCTTGAGACAAATTAGAGCGATTTCAACCACCCGTACAGCAGCTCGCAGAACTCCACGATGTGGAACTGAAGGCAACTATTACTTTTGAGCAACCAAAAAGGGGAGTCGGGATATCTTATTAAAGGGTGTGTGGTATTTTACTGCTGACCACCTCGCTATTGCCTTACAGGTGTTTTAACCAATGGGATCAACTGTTACCTCCCAGCAGAGATTCGAAAATGTTGATAGCAACAGAGCTGGCAAATTAAGCGGCTCTAGCAATAATATCTTCCCTAAACCGGGCCAATGCAAATACCATGAAGACAAATTATTATTTTAATAAATACGTGTATAATGGTGATACACGCGCTGCCTTGGGTAAGCATCACGATCCACAGAAGGCTCTAGTTGTAATGAAAGCATTATGCAATTTCTGAGCGGGCGTATGGAGAGTTCGTTTCAGGGTGGATCTACCAAAATTGGGGGAGGGGGTGATCTCAAATATATAAGGAACGCGTCGGCCACGAACCCTCTGCACCTAGGCAAATTATTGTACGTGATTTCTTCACCATTTCATCTCGTTGCGTGCGAAGCCATAGACAAAGTTGTCATCGCAGAGATACGTTGTCGATTGATAAATTAAAAAAAAATTAATTAAAGATTAAAATTTACTTAAATTTTGTACGGGTATTCATCAACTTGCTATCGTTATTGCGGTGACAGCTCCTTCACCGATCTCGTTTTCTCGTCATGGCCAAAAGGAAATTGGATGTGAAACTCAATGGAATACTACAGGTGAGAAAACTTTGGAATTGACCATTTTTCAGGGGTAAAGGAAAGTAAAGTTTAGATTCAACCATTTTCCTACAGGTAAGAGGGAAAAAGGAATGTACAAAATAAAAAGGTCTGTGACACACAGTTAAGGTTGTTCCCGCCTGAAACCGGTGACGCGGAACTGTAAATAACTTACATTGCCATGAGGCAAAGTATTGCTATTCAGCAAAAATTACGGAGATTGTTCCCGCCCTTAGCCGGTGACGCAGAACTGCAATCAGACAAAGAACTGGTACTGTGGCAATCAGCGATTGTTTCCACCCAAAGCAGATGGAGCAGTAAATCATTTTGGAATGTACCTGTGTGGTACAAAGCCTTCGATATGAAGGTTCAAACGGCAATTACAAATGACAGAATGCAAAATTACCCAATTCTTATGAACAAATTAACAAGGATTTACTCCAGTATACAATATCTTTGGTGCCAACCATCCTTAGTTATCAATATCAAACGCTGTGATTGGACAGCAATTTCAATGCTGTGCGCACTCGGTATGACTAGTCCAACGAAGAGGAAATCATCCAGATAATTGACAACGTGAGGGGATTCTGCCACCTTACGAGTACAGTACTCCAGGAAAGTACTGAACCGCTCAAACGTAATACAGGATATTGCACGGCCCATAGGCATGCAGTTATCGAAATAGAAGTTATAGGCATGCAGTTATCGAAAAACCAAGCAAATCAAAATCGCGTGGATGGACGGGAAGTAAACGAAAGGCTGATTTAATATCCGACTTGGCCATCAGGGCACTTCGTGGTAAACCTGCAATCATAGTTATTGCCTCATCAAAACTCGTGTATGAAACGGTGCTGTCTGCGGGATCAATGAAATCATTCACAGAATTGCTGATAGGGATGGCAAATTATGGATTAACCTAAATTCACCCGGAGTCTCTTTGGGCACCAGGCCCACAGGTGAACAACAGAAATGAGGAAGAGGCTGGGACAAAAACGGGCCAGCAACGCGACCCAAAGCAACTTCACGATCAATTTTTGACTGCTGATTGTTGGGATGTTTGTGAGCAAATTCAGAATTACGAGCACACGTACTAACGGGTCCTGAATAACCTATGCGAAAACCGTGCAAAAAAACCTTCTTGCAAAATGTGGGAGTCCTGAGTATTGGGATAAACGCGCAAAAAAAAGAGCATACTACTTTAATAGTTTTACCAAGATTGGCGCCAGCTGCTGGCACCCGTGCTGCGACGCGAGACTGGGGGTTTCCCAGACAAGGGGTTGCGTGGTGGCCAAATGCTCTGCAGGTGGAGCAGCGATGCGCAAAGCGACAGATGGTGAGATTGCATTGACCGCGGTTGAAATCGTTACATGTGGGTTGACCACCGCCGGCGACTGGGTGTCGACAAGGCCCGAAATCGGACCAGGGGTTGGCGGCAGTGGAGGGGGCACGCTCGCGTTGCTGGTAGCGACGAAAAGTTTGCACCAAGCAGCATCAGCCAGAGTTCGGCGTCAATAGTTGTCCAAGAGCGCGACGGCAAACGCGCCTGGCGCAATCGAAACTGGGTATCATGCTCTAGTAAAGTAAAGTTGCTTTTGCAAATAGCAGACAGATTTATCTCTTCTCTAAACAAACGCCACAGCTGCTCAAGCAAAATTGACTAGGAGTTCACTCCAAAGCTACTAGCATCTTAAGGTCACGCCAGTAAATAGTTAAAGGCATTAAATCATCGTTCTAACAACCGCGAGTGACCACTACTGACCCACTTAGTGACAAGGATCATCCAATGTCCCGTGATGATAAATTACTTGAAGCTGCAATTTATTTTGCCTCAAATTGATTATTTGTGTTTTCCTGTTTGTATTTTATTTCCATTTCTCTATTTTTTATTTTTAGTTTTATTTTGTTTATTTATATTTAAATCTAATTTTGTTTTATTTTTCATTCTGTATTTTTTCTTTCTCATTTTATTTATTTATTTTTTTATTTCATTTGGTTTTTCGATATTTCATTTTTAATTGTTTTACCTATTTTTATTCATTGTTCTTAATTTTAGTTAGCTCACAACATTGTCTACACGCTTGAGATGCGCCTGGACAACCTTAACACTAAAATCTATTGAAAACACAGCCTTCTTGAATCGGTATGGTGTTCACGTTGGATTTGACGTAACACTTTGACCAGGCATGAAAGTACATGAATCGGCACGCGTGCGTTCATTTCCCCTGTTGAGCGACAGCTACCAAGAAAATGAAAAGTGACCATAACTATTGAAATACTGTGACGTGCCACCGAACCATTTCCCAGAATGTATTCTTGTTCAACCTACTCGTCTGGCTACGTTGCATCGTTGACGTGAGACTGAAATTTCTTGAACCACACATCCCAAGCCGGAAAGCTAAAGTAACCGTACATGTACAAATTCAGATGAAACGTGATCATGTGAATCTGAGATCAGAAACTGTCAATCACTCTGCTGAAATGCGATGGCCAACGCTAATTTAAACATGGTTGAATTCGACGAATGTATTCGCTTTACAGTCCGTTCCGGGTATAAGTTGGCGACGGAACTGGAATTTATCCGCTCTGAGCGTGTCTATGCTCCGGACCGACAGAGGACTACAGGTAGAGTAAGATGACACATTTTTCAGGGATGCTCATTTTGGGCTTAGTGACGACAGATGCTCGAATGTAATTAAGCCACAGATGTCTGCGAAGGCCAAAGGCTTAATACTGCGTTATCATTCAGGAAGAGAACAGGTCTCTAATGATTTTGTGAGTAGCATTCGTGAATGGCCGGAAGATTATTTGAAAATAATGCTTGCAAGTTAGTATAAAGTCTTGTGGTCATGAAAAGGCAGTTCAAAGACAGGTCAAGATGAAAATCCTATCCAATACGGGCCATTCACAGCAGTGCACCACCCAGAGTTTGCAATACGTTGGCCAATTACCACGCACGAAATCTGTCGACCCTTTCCAAACGCGCAGTGGGTTGACAGATTTGTCGCATTGTGATTAGCCAACATGTTGCAAACTATTGGTGGCGCACTGTTGTGAAACGGCCATAGTGTACACCTTATACAGAGAACATAACTCAGAAGAGGGAAGACAGCAAGCACCTAGCATCAACAAACATCAAGGTCCGACTGCAGACAAGTACTTAAAGTATCATTTACGAGAATTAAGGTTATCGCATAGTTTGCACATTTCACCAAGCTATTATTCAAGAAACTAGAGGGCTTCATGTTTAAGTTCAAGCCTTCTATACATTCGTTAACATATGCACGTAAAATTGTAGTTAGGTACCCTTTTTTAGTCTACGCACTTCATTGACTCACGCACTTAGCAACCACAAACTGCACCCAACCAATCTCACACATACAAATCTAAATCAAGGAAGGCTGGAACTAAAGACTGAAAATTTCGTAGCTTCTTTTTAAAAAGAGGAAGGGGCAGTACAAATATAAACTTTGCAACGTTGCGACGTGTACAAAAATTGTAATATTTTCAGTATTTTGCAAAGGTATAGTTGCAATGAAATTTGAACCATCACAATATTTTTGCATGTTTAATGCAAAACTATTTGCGATTTGTGATGTCCCATCAGCGCCACCGTAAAGTGAAGTAATGCAAGAAATCAGGAGAAACACAAAAAGAATTACATCATCATGCATTTTGTCGGCAAACGTTATCCAAGCGAAGATTATTAAATATCAAAGGGAGCGAACGCTTCCTGGAGACACTAAACCACACAAAGCAAATCAAATCATCGTAGGGATAAAAATTGGCGACAAAATGTAATTTGAGTAACGACACGAAATACCAGCGGATATATAAATAGAAACAAAAACTGGGACTGCTTGTTTTTTAACTTTAATTCTCCTTTTCAAAGGAACAACACGAGATGAAGTGGTACCCATAGCACCATTCGTTACAAAATGGTGTTTACTGTTTTTTTAACTGGATATAAGCTATAAGCAACTTGACAGCTACAATACTGCCTCACTTTTTTCTACATTTGCTGCAATAGATACTGTTTCCAGTTATATTTATGGTTTGTATTGACAGACACAAACAGAGGGAGCGATTTGCAGATCAAAATGACTAAGAAAACTACGTGAAATTCGGGGCATCTTATGTAAGGAATAAAGTTATGCTCAAAGAAAGTTGGAAGTATATTCTATATTACGAAGGCTGAATCTGTTTTCAAAAACACCCTATTGCGAGTACTAATGCACTAATGTACAGGCATGTCGAGTTGCGTTTAGCCTTGTGGATTAAACTTATGGTATTGGAATTCGAATATAATTATCATGGAGTAGAAATAAGCAGTTCACATTCAATTTCCTTTGAGCATTAATGTTTACTGTTCCATTAATTAAATGCAACAACATGGTAATTTCTTGAGAACTTTCGTGGAAGACTCTTTTGGATTTGTTGACTAGTTTCTGGCTGTGGATTCTTGTAACGTGGAGAATCTTCTAGCTTTCGAAGTAATCGGTATAACGGGCGTTTGCCACACGTTGGGAGTGATGTCTGGTTGTCTGGATGAAGGCTTCGGTTCTGCAAAATTCGAAAGAAAAATCGTAATGTGTCAGGCGTGACTTTTTCATGAGCTTGTCGGCAGGAGGTTACCCCGTTGATCGTACTACGATACGGCCACGTTTAACAAAAAGTGATCAACAAAACAGGAAGAAGAATCTGGCCACCATCGGACAGAGCTGCTTTCAAAGGGAAACATCGCTTGACAGATATTCGCCGCGAACCAGTGGCGATGAGCAGGAATTGCATAACACTTCGGCTGGCAACCTGGTGTGGTTGAGTGCGGTGTTTTTTTTTTTTTCTGTTCTAGACAGTTTTTATTCTCTTCTAGACAATATCACCAGGTCCAACAACTTACCACTGATAATAAAACAAGGCTTTTTCTTGCGGAACGTGAAAGTAGTATCACCTAATACGAGCGATTCATAATCCAATTCGTAAGTGTGACGTCACTTCAGTTTAAACCACGCCCACTGCACACGTGCACTACAAGTAGCGTTACATGCAATGATCGCCGTTTACATGGAACCATGTAACTGGAGGTAAACGCACAACTTCAGCGATCGTCCAACGGAAGCCTGCATATCGGGGCGCCTCCGCCTTTGTGACAAAGTCACTTACGAACCGGATAGTGCGCCTCCAAGAGTTTGCCACGCATTGACAAATCACGACGCGCGAAATCTGTCGACCCTTTCTAAACGCGCATTATGTAGCCAGATTTCGTACATCGTGATTGGCCAACGCGTTACAAACTCCTGGAGGCGCAGTGTAATAAATCACCCGTATTCTGTGGTATGGATTTAATGCTAATAAGTGAAGCTCAAGCTGATCGTTTCATATGTACGTTCTTGGGGTGCGTTGCGTACACGATGCGTTCATGCGTTTCACTCTTACGGACACAAAAATCGACTCATTAACATGACAATCGTGCCCGTTGCGTTCTGCCGTCAAAATCGCCCTGGGAGCGATTTTGACGGATACACAACGATTGGTTCAAGTGTTAACGCGCTATGGAAAGGTGCCATGCCCTCTGTTAAATGCTTGCATGATTTGGCATGGACACGGGTGTACGCATCAAGCGCGCGTTAAAGGAGCATGAACATAGAAGTGTTTTGTTCGCGAAAAAATTGGGCTCTTCAAGCAGAACAAAGAAAAAGGACCTTTTGCCTTATTAATCCCCCCCCCCCAAAAAAAACGAGGGCGCAAATTTTGCATCTTTAGCAGACAAGGGCTGGAACAACAAATTATTCAAAATTAAAACCACAATGAAATCATTACTTTTTTTAAAATGTTTATGAAGAGTCGTTTGCCCTTTATCTGGGTTTATCTGGGCAAAACTAGATCGGAGGATTGGATTTTTGGACACTTTGTCACTACCCACCTGTGAATTTTGTCGTCGTCGATCGCGGTTTCCCTACTATTCTGGGCTCTGGTCAGCCTCCTTCAAGCTCTTGGCGGCCCGTTCCTGCCTTTTCCCAAACAGGCCACCGGCGGAGCACAACGCAGGGGACCAAGGGCACCATCGCTCTTCTTTAAGCTGGCCCGTCGACTTCTCCGCCTCGTGGTGACCAGCCAGGAACTGGGGGCTCATGTGGCCCCCAGTGAACCGTCTTGCCAGCTCGCCCTCGTCGCGTTCGGCCGTTCCCTCGTCCGCATGAGCGAGTAGCAGGGAAGCGGCCAGGAAGAGCTGCACTGCAGCGCAGAAGACAACACCTTTCGTCATTTCGAATTTCCGATTTGAGTCGAACAGTCAGAAGTAAATGGCATCAAACGCCCAGCCTTTATATGGGTTTTCGGTGCAGTTTCAAGTAGGTTAAGTAAGCAGTGTACTAATAATCCCAACAACTGAAATAGCTATCCGGACTCTTTGTATTTGGTTTCTTCGCACTCTCATCTTACTCAATTAAACGGGATTAATAACTTCAACAATTGTTGTCGATCTTTTTACTCGAAGAAACCCTTAAACATGAAACAAAATATGTTCATAATAAAACGAAAACAGAATTTGCTGCATTGAGGCAAACTTTACAGTGGATTAAGATTTCAATTATCCTTCGCACATTGCGCCATTCTGTGTTCTACTGACCACTAGAGTGTGCTCAGCGGTAATTAAATAACTAAATTATACAGCCGAACACGTCCATTTCGCGCTTAAGCAAACAGTACGTGATTTCCTTATTTGTCGCTCAGTACGTGCGAGGCTCTATGCAGACGGCTGTCGACGTAAGTGAAGCGTGGCCCACTTGAAAGATTTTTGGGCCTTAATTAAAACAGTCGTAAGTTTGCTCAGCACAGTGATACTAGTAAAGTTTTACCCACTATTTCCAAGCTTAAACCTAGTTGATTAGAATTTGCGAATCGCTCACACACATAAGTCGTATTTTTTGTTATACATTGTATGTAGCGTGTGTTTTCCCACAAGTGGCTGGTAAAACTATGGTTGGCCGTCGGTGCAAAATTAACAGTAAAAGAATAATTTGCAAAGTGTTAAAAATCCTACGCATTTTTCAGACCATGAGATAATAATACACGTGGTACTAAATACTAAATGAAAGTACACCCCTATCGAAAATTAATGGGACAAATGTCCGTGTTGGACAAATTTGAAGTAAAATCGAAAGCAAATCAAAAGGTGATATTTCTGCAACCTCTGGCCGTCAATACAAGTTGTAGGCAAAATGCGAGTGGTCTATAAAGACATCTTATTGTGATATTTTCTATTTCACAGGAGCAGGTTTACAGCAATTACATTCGCTTGACAATGGCACGTGTGTGTACACTATTCATTGAAAATAAAAGATAGTTGTTTTCCAGCGCCATGCACAACCAGAAAAGCCAGTGTGGTGTAACTGTCCGCAAGGACTTTCCATTATTTGGATTTGACCTATTGAAGATGGCATATGTGCGAGGCCCCGGGCGCGACCAAGAGAGGTCGCAACGATGGTGCGTTTGGCAGTAGACTGGTTCCCGTCCCGTACATATTCTCCAGACGTCTTATGACGTTGACCGAAGGCAGGGACTGGCAGCGGGTAATAAAACCGGAGGAATCCTGCCGGTTTTATGTTAATAAGGAAACGATGCCTGCTCAATGCACAAATCAAGCAGGAGCTTATAGAATATTTTGCCTTTTCTTTTTTGTTACCAAAATTACTTCACCAGAAATTGTTTTATCTGAAACTTTAACAAAATAACTACTTATTTGAAATAAATTGCCGTAAAATTATTTATCGATGATATCCATTGAAAAAAATAAATTGTGATCAACAAAGGATTAGCAGGATAGTTACTTGTGCGTTATTCATCTTACAGTTCAAACGTAATTCACGTTAAAACATTGCTTTGGCCTGAAAAACCTTAAATATTCAGCATCCAAATTGACTGGGCTAATCGCACACGTTGGACCGCAGCCAGCTACCGGTTCCTATATATGTATAATAAGGACGGGGACCAGTCCGCTTAAGTAGAAACTGCACTTCGCTGGTTCACAAACGACTATGAAATACGCCCGTTGCAGTCGCGTAGCTACCAACGAAAATGAACACTCCCGACCAACGTGGCTCTTTTTCAACTGATAGCCAGTCGAGAACGAGAGTAAAAAAGTTCACTCAACGAGATTCCGGAACCCTTGCACGATCCATGAGGACATCAGACCGCCCAATCACGTTCTACAGAAACACTAATGTCAGAATTAAGTTGTGTTTTTCTAATAGTATTTTTGAAAGTCACTGTGTGAAGACGGGTTAAAAACGAATTTCATCACGACCTTTCACTTCCGGCTTTAACGTTCGTATATAGTCACCTTGTTTATGCACGTTTGTATTCACTTCATGTTCTTTCGTCAGAAAGAGATGTACGAGGGTCCAAATATTTTAACACCTACCTTCAGTCGATGGCGCTTGCCTGATGCAGTTCTTGTCAAGTTGAATAAGACTTCAGAATTTTAATTTTCAGGTTATTTGCTAAAATTTGTTTTGCTCTCTTTTTACCTCACCTTTTACTTGAAGACTAAACCAAAAAATAATTGTCTAACTTGTCATTTGCGTACACCGAGTTACACTGGACGTCATGTATTTTAAATCTGTGGAAGTGAAAGCCTAGGTCAATTTTTGGCACGAATTTCTCTTCCCGATCGGGAAATTTGTCAGTTTCAATAAATCAATAGGGAAGCATATACATGTACTGTACAAAGACCTTCTTCAGAAGTGATCTGTGATAAATTAAATGATTGCAAGTTCTGAAATCATGATGGGGTCAAAAGCAATTTGGTCTTTTAAAAGAAATGGTTTTCATTTGAAGAATATGGAATTTAATTTGAAAGCAAGGTTACCGTGAAAATCACCGAATTATTACTATATTTTAAAATTCAATAGCTTGGATACCATTTCGTAGATAAATGGGCCTTTCTCTAGTAACAGGAATATTTAAGGGGAACCCTAACCCCTAGAGTGTATGTAAAATCATATTAAAATTGCAGGATCGAGGAGACTGTTAGGGGGCTATAAACTCTCATGGCACAATTCGTATCGTACCTAGCTTGATAAGATCAACCATTTTCAGCCTAAATTACTTACAAAATGTCAGATTATGCACCTTGGGCCGTGTCCGAATCAGTTGCCTACGACCGAAAATTACGCACTAGTCTACGGTAGTGGCCGCGGCCAGTTCCCATTAAGTTGTGCGTACATTCCTGGGTCGAGTTCGGGCTCCGTGTTTCTTGACACGGGTTTCTTGTTCTCGCGCTCGAACGGCGGGAACACGACTCAACAACACTTGTCTCGGTACAGGATCACACACCACCTCCTCGTCAGGGTTTTGCAGGAACACACGGAAAAACTCGTGAAATCTTTATTTTTGAACAGCTGCAAAAAATAGAGAGATGGTTTAAAAAGTTGGAGACAATAGGAAGTTTTGAAAATTAACGTTAATTATTTTTCACGACACAGAAGTGAAGGTTCCTGTTTAAAAAGAACAGAATTCAGCCCGGTTGTCCAAGCATTAACTCTCGAATAGTTTACTACGATATCGACGCCGCCATGTTGCTTGTCACTAAATACCAGTGATGACCAATTGTACATTCCCGGCATTCGAGCGGCCGACCCAAGAACGAAAAATCAAGCTGTTCGTGAACATACGAGAATAAGCCGCCCGAACTCGGCCTTGGGTTCTCTAAAACGTGTGTAGCGCCCTCACACAGTTCTTCCTGAATTATGTGGAATTAATGAGGGCGCTGTATTGGGCGGGTGTGAACCGAACATCGGCAGTTACAATCTGCCCAACACTCTTCGCTGTGTGCGGCGTGCCCACCATGTCTTTGGAGAGCTCTTTCTTGGACATGTGGGAACATGGCATGTCTGTACTTAACAATCAGGAAATTACCTGCAAATCACGTACTATATGTGCCATTTAAGACGCGATTCGCTATAATGAATTACCAGTCGTTTCATAGGTCATAATCATTCGAATACAAAAAAGATTCTTCTGTCTAATAGCCTTTGAAAAATACACGGAGCCTTTCCATATAATTATGTACGTTTGGGGGTGTTTTACGTAAACGATGCGTTCATGCGTTTCACTTTCACGGACACAAAAATCGACTCCATTTATAACACACGTGTGTGTTGCGTTCAGCCGTCGAATTCCCTCCAAGAGCGATGTTGACGCGCATATGGAAAGGTGTGTTTTGATACGTTAGCTCCAGTACAGCGTGTGTAGAAAATGTGTAACTAGGCGTATCCCACGGGGCAAAGTCACCGAGCCGTAAAGCGTGAAATTCAAGGAATCGTGAAAAATACAAACACACAAACGGCATACGGGTGATGGTTTGCTCGTTCGTGCTGCTTTTGCAGGCCCGGCTGGCAGAGACAACTTTCTCTGGATGCCCAACGGTTCAGGTTTGTAAGTCGTACATACGATAAATAACTCCTGTGCATGACTTTTTTAAAGTCGTACGTACGACACAAGTTGTATGCGTGGGATATAAATCGAACGTACTCGTTTAATGATTGATGAATCGGACTTGCGAGATGTAAGTCGTACGTAAGATATGTAATCCGTACTGAATTACAAGCTATCTGTGCGAGTTAGCAAAAGGAGGAAACAGTTTGTACAGTCTCCCTGCTACAGCTTTGTAAGTCTTCTTATAGAATTATAGACCACCATTAAGTCAACTAGGTAACTGTCTTACAAGTCGACAAATCAGAAACATACACATTTCTATACATCCAGCAAAGCCACTGAGTTGCTCCTTGAAAGTGTCCTTATTGACCAAAATTTTGACCGTGAAAAGTTTAGCGAGAGATCTTAACGAGGGCCTTGATGCACATGCTTCGGGACTATTCAGGGTAAAGTGTTAATGAGTATTCTATATTAAGGCTAAGAAAAATGTTGACAACGGTAGTAAATTATCAGAGCAGTGACATGGTTCACATGAGAACATAGACATCAGTCCAGCGCAAACATTTTCTTTCAAGTCAACCTCGACCAGTTTTTTAATGAAAAAAATAGCAAATATTCATTCCAATAAATTATTCCAATTATTTGTCCTTTCATCTGGGGACAGACTTTCCAAATATTACATTTAATCCTTGCACACACCAGTTCCAAACATTCTAAACATTATGTGACTGAGAAATCTCATTTTTGTAGATAATTGCTCGGCCCTCTCGTGGTAAAAGAATGTAACTTGATTTGTTTTACGTTTTGAGATAAGGACATGATGTCGTAGTTAAATATTAGGGCGCTCTTTCCCTTCAGCGAAGCAAGAATTTCGTACAGTTTTTCCTGTACGAGTTCCTGTTTGCACCTTTTATCTCAGGTATTCTTCAGAGATTTTCTTAGGCGGGCCAAAGCGTCTCACGCAACAAACACTGCGCACCGTTAAATTTCAGAGAAAACCTTACAGATTTGTGTTATCAGCTTGTGCTTGTAAATGTGATCTCCGAAGATACACTTCATAAAAGAAAGGCTCTTTTCCATCGTTTTCAATTAATCTAAATGCCTCCTCGAGTGAGCCCCAATGAATAAAACATGTTTTTTATTAGAGTCCATCTCCATCCAGTTTATTTTATGCGGTTTCTATGACAAAACAGTGAATCTTAAAATACCTCCTTTTGCAAAAAATCTGTGAATTTGAATAAAAACAACTTGTTTTGCGTCTGTCCAGCAGGTTTCCTTCAGCTACCGCAAGTATAAAAGATTCAGTAATTTTGAGATTAAAGAGAATATGTAGCTGTGTCTGTCGGTCTCTTTGCTGTGAAATTTGCACACAGGTTTGCCAATCTAGTAAAGTAGCGAACAACTTCAAGTGTAAAAACCTTTCCCATCTTTCACGGGGTACAACGCTCAAAAGCTTACTGTTGGCAGCCGTCATTAACAAAAAGCTAGTTGCACCGTGAACAGAAGTTGGTGACTTGGCACAAAAATAATGTGATGTCTCCTTCACTTGTGGACTTTTGCATTTGGATATTTTGATCACAGCATAACTGTGACACTGTCCATGGTTTTCTGGAATTCGTGAAGTACAGAAATTCAGAAGATTAGCTTTATTCCGATAACTCTTTTCTGCTCGAACCTAGAGTCATAATTCATTTGCTATTGGCCACTTAAGAATTGCAAAACACAGCAGCCAAATGTAGATAACAGGCAAACTGCATGTCGTTGATTAAGTATGAATGTCTCCGTTTGATTAGCCTAATCCCAAGTTCGGGATTTTCCATTGTAACCGGTGTCAAACATTTTCAAACCGTGAGAAGAATATAAGAATACTTAAATGAACCTGACAACCCATTTCAGCAATTATTTCAACATCTTGTAAAAGTCCAAGGGGGGAAGCAAAGCTCGTTTGCTGATAGATTTTGTTTAGTTGGATATTTTGTTTTAAATAGTAAAGCTTTAACGTGACTGGTGCTAAACGTTTCTTTGTGAGTTGTTTCACAAGCACACAATGAAGCTTCGAATGAATTGCTGCTGCTAGCATGGTTGGTAGACTTTTAGGGGATTGCTTTTTAGTTAAATTAAGTAAGATAGAAATAATTACCCCTAAATGAAAAGATTGAGCCTTGGTCTTCTCCGGCCGCTTTTTGACTCCGCAAAATAGTTGTAGATGGGTATTTACAATACCCAATACTAAGAAAATGTGTCCTTTCATGGGGATAGTCACCTTAAGGAGCAAACACTGCCTCACCAAATCCTATTCCCACATTTAGTGGAAGTAAAAAATGGCTGCTAGTTGAAATCAGTGGTGGACCATTGGCTACATTGAAGCTTTACTACACAGCGAAGGAGTGAGAGTCATGCTGCATGTACAGAAGCTTTTATACTGCTTTGCAGGAATGGTGTGCCCTGCCTTGTCCATTGAATTTAATTATAAAAACTGTACATCTGAACAATGGGGAATTATCATAACTTTAAAAAAACAGTGCGGGACTGTAGCAAGCTGTTCCTGAATTCACTAGAGACTTAAATGATGCTTGGCGAAATTCAAAATAACAATAAATTCTGTGAATTAATCACGTTATTGTGACATTTGCCGTGCTATTCAAACAGTGATGCATTGTTCTGGCATGTAATTAAGTCAAAAATCCCCATGTCTGATGTGAATTCATAGCTACAAGGTACGGTACATCGCTTTGCTGTGAAATGCGGAGAATCAGGCGACATGGACAAAGATACTTAGAGGGGGCGCTCTTCAGATTGACATCCCAAAGCAGTGTGCGGAGTTGCAATCCTGTCGCCACGATAACTGTAGTAATACATGTGGTGTCACATGGATTCATGGATGCGGTGTACACTTCTTGCGACATAGAACTGGTTACCTTTGGTTTTAGCGATACGCCTGAAATTGACATTTGGTTGTGCTATTTCAGGGAGCCATATGCCTCTTTATACGGAGCCCTCGAACAAAAAACGTCCCAATTGTTTTGTAATAATTATATTTTATATTGAGTTCTGGCAACTAGAAACCAATATATTATTTGTTTGCAAACTTCATATCCGTCGTTCTTAACGTCTCAAGCTGTGCAAAACACGACAAGACGCTAAACAATAGGCTAGATTTTGAATAACGAACGCCGTCCCGTATCAGAAACCTGGATTTGTTAAGTACATGTTTGGCCCTTTCAATTCTTCAATTTGAAAAAAAAAAACAATTGAATTGAACACCCAAGCCAGTTTACGAAAAATAAAAGATTACAAAATGAAGGAATTACAAGGAGATTCATGTGGATTACAGATAGATTCTGCCGGCGGAACATTTAAAAAAAACACTACTGAAAGATATTTGTGAAAAAGAACAGAATCCGAACTATTTTTTGGGAGGGAGGAATTCGGGAGTTTCTTGGTGTAAAGTTTTATGGTTTGTCAGATGGGCGAGGCTAATTAGGGAGGCTTTTTACTCGCTCTCGGAAGAAGGGGGGTGAAATTGTCATACAAAAATCTCCTTTTCCATCGTTCTATTTCAGAAACAGTGCTTAAGTACCACTGCTGCAAAATTGTAATTGAACTTTGCGTCATTCATTCATTACAGGAGGAAAATAATTACACTCCAACAAGTCACACTATTCCACAATTAAAAGAAAAAAAACTTTAACGAAATCATTGCCCACCACGGCTTCCGGAAAGGGTCTCTAAGGTACAAAAGCTTACATTGTATTAGAGACTGCCTGAAGTCCAAATGCGTCAGTGCGCATTATGATGCGTGCTGATCACCATCGACCAATGGTACGCCAGCTTGCAGCACGTGACTCAGAGTCACCACGCCGCAACTACGGAATGCCAACTCCATTGGCCAGTTTACTTTCAGGGGGAGGAGTCAGTTTTGTTGCCGTTACTTCGGTGGATGACGTCCGCGGCGACTGGGAACCCCACGCGTTAAAAAGTGTATAAAATTGAAAGGAGTGCGAAGTTGGCGGTAAATTTGCCTCCGGTGAGAATCGAAGTTTATGCCCTACGCGAATCCTGCATGACCGACAGAGTGATGGCACTGAATGGACAATTGACAAGAATGCTTCTCGTCGCGTGTTTCTTGCTACTTGGAGTTTCGTCAACCCGAGCACACGTGTATTTCAGCAGCGGAGATGAGACAAAACCTGGACCACCAGAGTACGGGCCAGGGGGCGAACCCAAGCAAGACGAGCCGGCGTTTGAAGACGGGGATAACGAGGCCCAGATCCCGGACTGGAAAGAGCGGCAATTGCACGCTGGTCTGACCGCTCTGAAGCACAGCTTACAGTCCCGATACTCAGCGGCCAGCAAGAGGTCTTGGTTACCGGGCACTCAGACTGGATTGTTTGGTAAGCGCGGCAGCCATTGGCTGAGCCCGGAGAAGCGGCAACTCTGGGCCAATCAGCAGTCTGGCCTCTTTGGGAAGCGGGAAGACAGCAGGGACCAAACTCTTCCCAAGTGGACTGTGAAGCGGTCGGCGGAGGAGAGTGAGTTTGGGCGGCAGAGACGTAGAGGTGTACCCCACGTATTCCAGAGCGGGGGAATCTTTGGTAAACGATCTGCTGACGACTGGTAGACGGGGCTCGAACAAACCCGTATACATCTACAGGTCGGGGGTAAGCATCTCTCATATTCTTAAACTGCTTCAATAGAGTTTCCAAGCTCAGTGGATGAGTATACCAAATTGGATTAATCATGTTTCAAAAGTCAAGACCATCCATCAAATTGACCACAGGTTGTTCAATTTTTCCATTATTGAAGGGAGTACCTTATATTCCTACCGCGTAACTTTATACCAATAACTACCTGAGCACAAACCAACTTTAACTTCAGAATTCCATCTTTAAAAATCTTTGCACCAGAACGTTAATCTTAGCAGGGCTGGTTTTCGGTATAATTTTGCAGGCCCCCTTAGGGTTAATGAGAGCGAAAGCATCTTTTTCCCCTTTAAAATATAGACACCATCTTTCCTCGACAAGCAATGGCCAGTGAACAAAAACTAAGCCGTAACAAAAGTCATTCTGAACAAGCTCAACATTGCATGCAATTTCCAATGAATCCAATTTAATAGCTGCAACGATATAAGCCCCTCATTTCTGAAGATACGCACCTTAACGCAGTCGATTTGAATATTGCCCTAGGTTCAGTGGGCCCAACATCCGCAAGATAATTATCGATGTAAATAAAGACCATGGTCAGGCTGGTGAAGTGGAACTGAACTGTCAATCTAGGAGTATTAACATGCAACGGGGATAGGCTTGTGTCCCCAGATGTATTGTCAATCAGACAATATAGAGAACAAACAGACATAGGAGCAAAGAGTGAAACTGCCTTGATGCTTGAACAAAACATTGCAGGTGATAAAATAATTTAATACATAGAATTGTGTTCATCATCACAACTACTCATGTTTGACATGTATCTCAGGTAGTTTATAAACAAAACGGGCAAAGTTTCCCTCCAAGAAGAGGGTAATCGTCCGCCATAGTATGTTTTCAGAGATCTTAGTAGGTGGCGCTGAAGCAAGGCCAATTCCCGTTCAGGTGTGCCGTCACGAAATAGCCTTAAATACAGCGTGCAGTTTAATGATGGGGTCAAATACGATACGTTAGCCATGAAATTAGCACCGAGGTTCTTCCGTTGTGCGAGCGAAGAAGCGAGCAAGCGTACGGAATATTGACATATAAGAAACGCAAGCAAATCAGGGGTAGGTGATGAGTTCATAATGATTGCCCGAATAATGTTGACCGAAAGGAAACCTACCCAGTTCGTCTACACGTAATCCATCCTCCCTGCAATGCACACCACCGATGGAAAGCGTAAGTGGTTTTGGACACTGCTGCTGCCGTTCCTAGTACCCGAAAATTTATACATCATTTGGAAGCGTCAACTGTGAAAAAACTACAGCATACACTTTGGATGCCATGCAATAGATAAGAAAGTATAACGAGTGGATACGCGTGCCTAACAGACAGACGTTATGTTCGTTCTCACGTGGGCAAGAATTTATCTTTAACATATTCCTTTCAGTATTACTCGTGCGCCACTGAACATTCTTCTTATAGACATCAACCTTGCTTTTCAGTTTAGCCAGAAAAAGTAGTCCTACAAGTCCTTGGGTGACTGTCTGTTAGTTAACAAAAACAAGGAAAGTTCGGAGTAAGTTTGCAGCTTGCATGCCTAACAAAATCATAAATTATTAATTGACATTTTGTTCTGAGAATCGACAGCGCATGTTTCAATTATACCTAGCAAAGTCAGTTGCTGCCCGAAGTTTTTGTTTGTGAAACGTTGGTGAATCTTCATGGCAGCCTTAATGTTTTTATTTAAAGGGACTGCTCAGGGTAAAAAATTTTATTTGAGCATTCTCCGGCAAAGTGAAGAAATATGTTGATAACTGGGGTTATTATTCGATCGGGGGCGAGTATGACTAGAATACATAGCCGGCAGTCTTGCCCTAACATTCTTCATTCACTTAAATTCGACTTCAATTATCGTTTTCGACGGGAAACAGCACATTTTCATTTTCGTCCTTAATCTTAACTCTTAATCCTTGCAGACATCACATCACATCACATTCTTAACGTGTTTGATTGAAAAACCCATTTTGTAGATAATTGATTTTACCGCCCACGCGTCTGCTCATTTCCTGTCTCCTTTTCTGAGAAGGGAAAAAACAATGGCTCATTGAGGCCAAATGCTGTCTAATCCAACAAGAAGTTATAATGACTAAAGGTTTGCGTTGGTTGTCACTCACTTGGCTTCGTGATGCCAAACCGTCTCGCAGGCCAACGGCTTAAACAAGTATTGTGTTGTGTGCTCTTTCTAATGAGCTGGCTAACTAAGTCAAGGGAAAAAGTTCCCCCGTCACTCAACTTCTGGGATTCTGACGTCTAGACCGTGCTTGTCTAGTTGTTGGCAGAGTTCATGTTGATTATTATTGGCCTACCATATCTGCATGGCAACGAATCAAAGGATTCAGTTTTCAGTGTATTCGACCGCATGATATCCCAAGCCGAACTCTGTTTCCCACTTGGGCAGATGAAGATGACTTTTGTGTCTCTTGGGTTAATTTTTAAAAGTAGAAAGAAAGACATTATCAGTCATTTTTCTTCAGGAGAGACTCAAGGGGAAAAAAACGAAACTTTAAGGACTTAAAACAGTAACAGTAAAACAGAAAGCATAACCTTGTACCAGAATTAGTAAACAGGGCGCCAGCTTGTCCGAACACAACTTTTCATTTAATTAAACTAAGCCATTTTTCTGCAGTTTTAAATTGCAGATGATGCTGCATAAAACTTGACTTCACAAATAGCTCTATATGCAGATCTAGAGAAGAAATCTTCTGCTCAGTCCTGAAAACGGTACATGCAATCTTCCCGCATAAAAAGTGTAGGAATTGAAATTACCTGTGTCCCTACTCCATGCAACAATAGAGGCTTTGCGTGGTAGCCATTTTGCAGGGCAGTTCTTTTGTTCCCTAGGAAATCCGTTGTGCATATCCTGTGGAACAAAAGCACGGGCCTGCAAGATCTCAGCCATGCAAACCAGAAATAGAGTTCTGTTATATGCACACTATGTATGGTGGCTATATGCTGCGGGCTGATTCCTAAATATTCATCGTGAGACGTCCCGTGCCATTCCTGCCGGTGAACCAAATTGGCCGTCAAAATTGTAATGAGTAGAAATGTTATTAGGATCAAAGTGCCGATCGGCTTTCCCTTCGGCTATTATCATCTCTTAGCGATTGGTCGTGCTTATGACTTTCCTTCGTGTGACATAAATGTTGGTTAAATGTGACAAGTCCATACCATAGTCAAAATACGAGATGATGGAGGACGCACGCGATCTGCCTGGGGCGCCACACTTAACAGATTAAGCGTTTAGCCTCACACCCGCGAGTTCTTTAAAGAGTCTCCCTGCACAACTGCTGGTCCAAGGAACGACGTGAGGTCCAGAGGCGAGAAGTATGAAATTCCTTTTTTCCTTCGTTTGTCTAATTGTTTGTTTGGGCCATATTTTATAGTGAAGAACTTTCACAGGTGCGACAGTACTGGTATAAGGCAAGTAACCGTAAGAGTTCCAGATACAATTTTATTGGAACAAGCACACACGATCTGGTTTCCAAGGCAGCAAACTCAGGCGTACGCGTTAAGGGTGCGCAGCCATAAAGTGTTAACAGGTCAATACAAAGCTGTGTAGGTGGTAGCAGCCTTTTTTGGAAGGTAAAAAAAATCAAGTAAGCCTAATGTTACCGCCAGCCAAACATTCGTCTTTTGTTTCAAAACACGTCGGTGAGTTTTGACCAAACAAGACTGGGCTTCCGTGCAGTCGCTTAAGACCTCTGATTATGTTCTTAGTTCGGGACGGCGTCTTTCTATGAAAATATCTACGTTGTTATTGGTGCGGAATTGGGTTTTCAATCAGTTTGCAGTTGGCAGCTTTTTTATTTTACGCGCTGTCGCAGTGCTTTGTTTATCCACCATCGATGTTTGTTCTTTTATTTTGTCTCTCGAGAGTGGGATTTCAGGGCAGTGAAAACACATCAAGTGACAGTGGGTATATTTTTTATGTTTCAGGTGGTTTATTTGCATTACAAACAATATTGACTCAAGAGCTCTGGTGTGTTTTGCTGTCTAACATCGAGTATCGATTGCCATTTGACATATCGCGTGTGGTATTGAGTCCTCAAAAACGTTATCTGAATTACCCACTGCAAAGCTACTTTTCATGAACCATTTTTTGTCTACATTACCTGCAGGGCAGTGCCATCACTGCCAGTGGTACTTCCATGTCGGCTTGGAGTATATGATTTCGTTTTCCTGGACATTATTTTAACCTTTTATCCGTCAAGGATTGTGAGGGCAATTTCAAGCAAACACTTACGTTGGTATCAGTGGTTGTTATTACTGCATAGGTTTACATTCTGCATTTTGTTCGGTTGTTTTTTTGCTTCGTATGTATACCACACGCTGTCTCGATTTCACCCATGTCCATAGGGACAAAAGCACTCTCTCTCTCTACACGCCAGTGATTTCTTTGACTACGCATCGGTTGCCGCTAAGCCACACAGCTGTTCATACAGAGAGTTGCGACATGAGTGTCTCGATTGTTGGAATCAAAATGGTGGATTATGCTTCAGTGCATATGGACAATTAGCACACAACAGCTACATGCAGTATACACATTAACAGCCATTTTGGTTCCAAGGTCTGAGGTTGCCGTTACCCTCTATATATACAGCTCTGCTACGCCATTACCAATCATTCCCCGAAGTGGCGACATTGCAGACTCTGGAGGAGGCTCATTTAATACACGAACGATTTACTAGTTTGTTTTCCTTTTTCGTTTTCGAGCCATTGGTTGGGTGTAATTCAGGCTTGTTGACTCAAAGAAGACTGACCATCTTTAATGCGTTCAGTCTAAGCCACGTTTGCAGTCGCACTGAGCTAAATATACACCTGAAATCCGCCTTTGGCTCTTGGTTCAATTAAAGAGTGAAGGAGGCAAACAGAGCCATGCCTTCTCCCTCGATGCATTTTGGGTGATTAAAATAACGTGAGGAAAGAAGAACGATTCAGGAACCGTATATTCATTACCATTCCTCCGCAAAACC